AGCCGTTTTCAGTCATTTTAGCAACTTTTTGACAATTTTTTACATGGTCTTATGTACTTTTCATGCATCTCTTACTCTAATATCAAGGTTTGAATGTTTTCTATTGACCTCAAAATCAGAAAAGGCTGTATATGAACAATTTTAGGCTAGGTTAAGCTACGGTCGACGTCGGTCATCCCCTCCCCTAGCCTTAGGCTAGGTTACAACAACATTGATAAAAACAATGATTTACTGCCACAATAACCCTCCATTTTGATCGTTTATATTTTGAGAAAGGTATTAAATAAATCATTTAAAATCATTTAAATATTTGAGGGGGGGGGAGGGGGGGAGGGGGGTAAGGCCTTAAACGTGAAAGGTAAGATCCGGTAACTGATTTTACGGGTGCCTCCCCCTTGACCTATGACACACCGGTAGGATGAAAGGCTTGAAGAACGTCTTGAATGCTCAATCAGATTATTTGACATCGATATAGGGGGCCACCAGACGTCGTACGTCCCACTGCTCACATGGATATTTGGCAAAGCAGACCGTGTAGGTGAATGATATTCGAACCTGTGTGTTCGACCCGACCGAGAAACATAAACTATACACATACTCACAAAAACCATACATTCCCTTCCTTACCTACTAACCAACTTAACTCACCCTGCGCAGACTCTCGCCAACTCTGGCTACTGAACAAGATGTTCTGCTGCTGACACCTAGGTCTCTCCGCTTACCTGTCACAGTGTGCAGGTTAATTATTGCTCTCTGTTCGTTCTCCTCTCCGCCGTCCCCTGGATCGCTGGCTTATCGATTTATCACGCACGTGCATCGACGAGCACACCCGCTGACTTCCATGTAGCCCCAATCCAAGGACCCACATCGGTCGACAAAGGTCTATCTCGCGCAGCTGTCGCCCATGGCTTCCGAGGCGGAATCAATTGCACAAATAGTCACTCTATACTCCCTTGGCTGCTCTGACCGGTATCCTTCACGTATCCATTCGCCGCTCCGCCTAACATTCTACGCAAACAATGTCTCCCACCGACTCGTTCAGCCTCTTCATCAATGTCATTGATCTTCTAGACATGCTTTTCCACGTCTTGTGCTGTGTTTTGCCTAGAACGCAGATATTGAACCTTAACAACGCTTTGGATGGCACGAAGAAAGATCTCGAGAGGGCGGAAGAGATGGGGATTGAGGTACAAGAGTTCAAGAAGGACATGCAGATGTACGTTCTACTTCCTCTGATACGAAACATGACGAGACTCTGAGTTTCTGCCGCTTTACTGGCGGATTTCTTTGAACAGGTACATTAAACAGCGTGAGGTGTTACACGTCCGCATCGGAAGATCGACTGTGCTGTATATGGAGCTGGTAGATGCTACGATGGGCTTGACGTGCAAAGCTCGAGCTGTGCTCTGGAGGGTAAAGGTTTTGAGGAGGGCCATCACGGTGAGGATCAGGATCGTTCACGTAGCTCAAACGCTATTTGTATGTCGCTCATTCATTTATGTTCTATACTCGTTCTTCCTTAGATTTCTATCCTCAAACAACAACAAATCGGAGACGCTGAGAAGACACTCGTTGTTTGATGAATAATATGTAGGTCAGTAGACTCAGTCTTCTAATTGAAATAAGATCTTCGCTGACGCTCCGTTTGCCATCTGTTTACCGCTTTGCGTAGGTATTAGCGCAAAGTCTTGTAACGTCCTTGAATCTACCTTCCCTTCGAGACACTTTACGCGGGATCATCTACTCGATAGCCAGTGATGCGAATACAGAATTATATATAAGGTCATTTCTGCGAAACTCCATCAGCACTCGCGTCTTGATATGCCTTTCCGCTGTCGATACACCGTTCCAACTTGAAGAAGACCTCGCCAAGCTTGTCTCATCCCTCGGGCCTCGTGCTTGCTTTAGAGAACGTGTACTGTGTCGGGTGAAAGATGCGAGTGCACTAACGTTAGAAATACAAGCGAGCAACAGGCAGTCTCTGAGTTCGAGGATCGAGGAAATGATAAAGGAGTAAATGGGACGCAGTTCGGACATAGACATGTCGATACGGACACTCTGATGCGTGTTCGAGCTTGTCGCGCACGTCACTCAGCCTCCAAACCAACTCCAGCCGAATTGAATCAGTTCGCACATCAAGCGCCGGCAGTTTCCGGGCAAACCAAGTTGAACCGGTTAAACGCCACACGGTCAAGTTGCTGCCCTAAGTATCTCTCCTTTGCCCTTTTCGTCTCACAATCGTGGGTGCGCTCTCTATCGTAAATCCTATTATGGCGAATACAAGGAAGACTGCCCACATATTGCGCTCAGAATCATCAGAAGGTATCCATACACGACTAAAATACAGACAGGGATGGCGGCACATATCTCGAGACAGTATGTAGAACCGTCCATACGATTGGATGGAATAGAAGAGATGTTGACAGAAATGAGAGATGCTAGAGATTCTTGTGAACTGCGATGGAACGAAGGGCACCGCGCCCTGGTGAGAAGATGACGTTCCATGAGGGGTCAGTCGAGGAGACGTACCGGTTGTCATACATGAGTGCCTAGACAGTATGCTCATCTTCCTTGCTCGTGTTAGCAGCATCTCTGGGCGGAGCATTCGCTTTCTGAGTCGCAAACTACACATCAGTGAGGGTACAGTCAATTACCCCGTGGTGGGCCAGTACCCCGTAATGGGTCACCTTCCAAATGCGGGCGCTCGACACCTCATATGGTGGAGTTGTGCTCCCATTCGAAGCTTTGGAGCATGATATCATAGCATTCTTGGCCTTTCGATGCCAGCCCTCACCGTAAACAGTAGGTGACCCATTACGGGGTACTGGCCCACCACGGGGTAATTGACTGTATCTTCAGTGGTGAAGCCGAAGACAAACAGGCGGGAGTGAAGCACTGACGACGACATCTTGATGAAGCCTCTTAACCCTACGCGCAGTAATATATACAGTCCAGGTAAGCCCCGTGGCCGCATCCATGAGCTCCCTGCCAAGGCTACTCGCTATTAGAGCGCGCTCGATGAGTGGGTCACACTGCTCCTGACAGCTATAAAAAAGACGGACCGGGTTAGACAAGAATAGAGTGGACGGACGAGATAAATGTAATATTAGATCTGGAGGCGGTTATAAGACAGGTTAGTGGGCGCGTACCTCTGTAGCTCTCCCCTGATACATCCAACATCGAGTCCCATGTCTACCGCCCTTTCCGCCGCTGTCTTCGCCGTCTTCAGCATCTTCACCAACTCTTCCACCTGCGTACGCGGCAGGATCCAGACGAGAAGCCGCAGAAAGACGTCGATGAGAGACAGTATGTTGATGAAGAGGCCAAAGTTATCCGCCGGCGACATTTCGTAGTAAAAATAGTGAGGTGCTTGGCGCGGGCTAAGATTAGAAGAGGGGAAAGGGGGCTCGATGGGCATGGGGCACAGATGTATGCGAAACGCATTTGCGGCCTGTCATGTAAGCATTCGTGGGTATATGTGGGCGTTCCGTGCAGAGTGCATGCTTGAGAAGGTTGGCTGTGAAGCAGACCCCGAAAACTTTCCCAGAAGTCCGAGCCTGGTAAATGTGTTGGGGCGCAGATACGAGGAGGTTGCGGTAAGATCAGTGAGCAATCTGCAGTGCTTCTCATCCACTGTACGCGTATGTGAAAGAACCGGTCGGCGAGGTAAAGACCACGTCAAAGTTGGATGTTAGGCCTCACAAAGTCCTAATTTCATTGGCTCAGATTTACAGCTGAACAGCTGAACAGGAATGAAGTTGAAAAAAACAGCTAGAAAATCCACTCTGAAGGCCCTGATGTCCCATTTGAGTGCATTGGTTTTCGGGCAAAATCAGAGGTCAGATCCCCCGTGCGTATGCCAAACATTTGGGGTCATTCAAACCTTGAGGGTCATTGCTGGGGTCCTCGATGGGGGCAAAAACCTTCTCCTTACTCCATGTTCTCGATGGTGTACTACTGACTATGATGGTTGGGCGCGCTGGGAAAAGATTGAGCAGACAAGGTATCCTGCAAGATCAGAAGGCGAGAGAAGGGCTCCATACGGGCCTTGAGAGGAGATACTGGCCTCAATCAGTGCGATTGAACGGTCATCGGCTGCTATCAGTGAAGCGCTCTAACTTGCGGTTGCTGCACTGAGATGAACTGATACAAGCTTGCGTACTTGGAGCCTGTGATCTTTCAGCTGCCGCGTTATGGAATACCATCGGCATAGTCAGTTGGAACGTCAGAACGCTGTGTACTAGAAAGGGTTGTGCACTTGTACCATTCGTTCTCAAATATCCAGGAGTGGACACGGCGAAATGTCGGCGACGTCTCTGATTGAGGGTGGTTTGAGGGTGGTAGTGTCAACAGCCATTGAACTATCCTTTTCCCTCGATGAAACCCACACACGGGCTGAAGACCTTACATTAAGTCATCGCGAGAGTCTCCGGATTGCACCATCAACTGAGGCGGCAAGAAAATCAAAACAATTTCTCAGAACAGCAGACTCCCGGCCAATGACACGGATGTGCAACAACGAGCAATGTGCATCGACAGACACTCGGTATCCAGGAAGGAAGTTACAACATGAGAACACACGTACATTGATTCCAGTGGGACAGCGTCAGATGTTGCTATATCATGACTGAGAGACTAGAGTGAGGGCGCTAAAATATGAGAAAATACTGTCAGTTCCTGAGTGTCCAAGTCCGAGAACAAGACGAAAAGTTGAAGAAGACCTCAAGGACTCCCATCGCAGCAAGACTCGAGCGACACAGAGGTTCGAAGTCTAAGGTCTACGCGTCCCGCTTCCGAAAATATCAGGCGATATGCGAGGGTATTCCATTTTACGGAAGAATACATGTGGTTCCTCCAGAGTGAGAAAACAGATCTGACATCGGTCTGAGAACAGAACTTGCCAGGGAAAGGTACATATATGATGTGGGCTTGGATGCGGGCCTTGGTGCCTGTCTGATGACGACGGACCAACCACGTGAGGACCACGCGAACGATGATCGAAGCGAACACGATGACGGCGTTCGTCCTTCTGCACTTTTGCAGCATCTTCCAGTCGTCGATTCGGGCCACTACTTTTTTAGTGTCCCATAGTCATGGCTTCCCATTATGTCGAATTCTTGACACTGTCTTGACATGGCATGGACATCTGACAGCTAGGAAATCTCACTGTTTAAAGGCCACCACGCTCCCGTTCTTCCGATATGCACGCCGCTTTCTCTTACGGAGTTGATGTCGCTCTACGCTCGCCCAAATCAGGAGGTCCATTTTCCCTTTCACCGTCGATCTTGCTTCCCAGCATTGGACGTGGATTTCCCACCGCTCCCTCATGTAGAATCTCTAGGACCCGATCCAGGCCTCTCGTATCCATAATGGTCGCGCGAAAGGACCGCTCTAAACATCCAGCTTCGGTTCAAAGGATTCGTCCCTCACTTTATCGACATCGATCACCGTGTCCGCCGCCCTCATCTTTCGCTACTGTCCACGCATCTCATCAACGTACAGCATGGTTTTAGGATACCTCAACGAGAACAGGCCGAGGACGAAGATGGAGGTATTGGGACACGCATTGAGAGATGCGAGGATGGAGCTGGACACCCTGCGTAGCGTGTCTGCTGGCCTGGAGTACGACGTACGTGCGTATGAAGTCACGTTGAACCGGTGCGTCTTTCGTTCTTTCCTTTGCAATACTCTGGATGTCGTGCGCAGACTCATTTTTTTTGGGCGCGGAACAGATTTGAGGAGAAATACAAGATGCTTGGACCCGCCGCTGGGGCTGTTGAGAGCGAGCGTGGCACTCGGCACCCCGAAGGACTGAGTTTGAGTTGGGAGCTCGCAAATATTGCAACGGGGTCGGCATGGACCGTGGCGGGCCTGCTGGACGGAGTGAGATGTTTGAGGAGGGGTGTACTGGTACGTTCGCACATTTCATGGCTCTCACTTTGAATATGAGTATGATGCTCATTGAAACCTTGATTGTGAATTTTCCAGTTGGCTATTCAGAAGGCACGTCAATCGCAACCAGGGATGCATCGCGAACAGTCGTACGAGAAGGACGAGTATGAGTCGATTGTCTGATTGGCAGACTGCCCCACGTTTTGGCGGGTACTGGCCTGATCCGGTTTCGTGAACACTTTGAACGCCCTTGTTGGTCTGAAGTCTGAATGTTTGCGTCTTCGCTTGGTCGCCGCTTCTTCTACGATGGTGTTGATATCTGTTCACTGTCGTTGTCGTATTCTTAGTTTGCTTCGACAGTCATAGCGACCGGGTCTACAAGGTGGCGCAGCTTCATTGGGCCGCACTTATAGCGCACTGACTCTCATACAAAACCAACTTTCCCGGAAGTCATGGGTGTACTTCCCGTCGTTGAGGTTCATCCACTACCAACATCATCAGACGCCGCCGCTGCAAATGCTCAGCCTCGGGTGAGTATGTATCTGGTTCGAAGTACATACTTACAGTTCACCAATGCACGGCCCCTTTCCGTAGTAGTCTCCCCCTCGTTATTCCATCCCTATTCCCCGCCCTCACCGTCTCAGTCCACCAAGTTTCAGCTCTCTCCATAGCCACACCGCCGACCCTCACTGTCGGAAAGTAACGCCGCTTTACCCGGACTTCAATATATGGTGACCTGCCGACCTTTGACCTCCTGTTAGGCAACTCGGAGCTGCCGATCACGGTCTGAGCGACCAAGATCGTGACGATTATGGGGAAGAGCATATTAGTGGCCAAATGTGACGCAGAGTTCAGTTTACTGTTTTACTTATATATGTTGGGCTTCTTGTCGAGAAGGACTGATTAGTATCATGCGGGTATAGGTAGCGATAACTTCATGCTTTCTGCGTTCCATATGCCGTGAGTACATTACCCTGTCTCTGCTCTTTCCTTGGTCTTGCTATGATCGTGCTCGTGTATACGCTTTCCGCTCCTTTGTAACCACGGCCCAATTTACGCTTTTGACGAGCAGATATTATTTACTCCATTCACCAGTTTTCTAGGCAGAACCCTTGACAAAGAATATCCTTCCACGAAATTCACCTTCGTCATGGCTGCGTAGGACTGTGGCGTACTTAGTAAGGTCAAAACACCCTATCTTGGGTTTGTATCATCACACGGCGAACCTTGGGTACATGAGTTTTGTGGAAGCGTTAACGATTATCATCATGCCTTATATGGATTAATAGTTGCTTAGACCCAACTTAGACCAACTACATGGGCGAACATAGCTCTCTCGAACGTGCGAGTGAGGTGCGAGGAACAATATTAACTTGATGTTCCTTTGGGCCAAAGCATCAACAACCAGTCACTAACGACTGCCTGTGGATGCTGTGGTCCGAACATAACTTTTTGAATTCTCCAGGATTCTCAGGAGCTGTTGCGACCGTGATAGATAGGAACACAGGCCGCACTGCATAGTTTGCCGGGATATTGAGGGCTCCAGAAGTCTTGGTGACAACTAACTAATGTATGACTGTAGTTTTGGTGAAGGCAACTTGAATTTGATGTGAGTTGAGTCAAGACGGTGCCACAAGCAATAAGACGCAAAAAAGGTGGCACTCGGACACACGCAGTTTGCCGGTCGCGGAGTTTGAACTCGTTACTTTTGTTCTTGATTCCACCGCGACACCTGCGTTATGCTCCTCTCTCCCTACTCCTATCAATCCAGTACGCGACCTCTAAATCCGAATCATCACTCACTAGATGGCTGCACTTGGCAATACTGCACTGACCTCGGCTGAAGAAGTCAGAATCGAAAAATGGCGTCAACAACTCTCTAGCATTGACCCCCAGAGAATCATCGACCTTGTGTCGCTGCAACCCGTTGGCTGGCTAGATACCTGGAGCGTGGGTCTGATCATATATGTGTTAAGACAGAGCGACCACTCTACTTACTGCACTGTGCCACAGGACCACGTGGATGTGTTGCGCGCTCTGAACAGGGCTGCCCACAATTGGGATCTGGGTTTCGAGCGGCTGGTCATGGCGGGATTGGTCGAGTCGATGTGCCAAGGGGTCATATCCCGCCAGCTGGCTCAGAACCATTCTAACTTCTCAGTAAGCTCCATACATATAAATTGTTCGTCTTTAGGTCCTGATGTAGATACTATACATAGGAAACCATGAAACTCATGAGCATAATTGGGCGTGCGGTTGATTCCTTGGAGTATCCACTAACGTCGTCCCAGAAGCGATTCATTGTTGCAATCAGGGAGCATTGGAAAGATATGGTGGAAAGCGTGAGCCGATACCATACATTTTCGAATTCGCCATCCGGAACTGATCATCGCCTATATCATCTTCATAGCTATGGAACATACCTCTGTCGAGACTTCTTCCCTTAAGAGTGCGCTATGTTTATGGGCATCTTACAGAGCACATAATAGCTTTTGATCCTTCGATATTGAGGTAAGTTTGGACCCTGGTTGGATTCATTTTTGATCCGAGCTTGAGTTATGGAACTGATAATCCTTTAGCGTGATAGACCAGCCGGAAGACCTGACTGTGCCCATGATATTCAGGTGTTGGATGGAGTCAACGACAAGAGACGACCTCATGAGCACCACGAACGCTTTGTTCAACATCTTTGGCGCCAACCCAATGCGTCCTTGCCCAGCAGCTAAAGAATATCGAAAGAGTCACCCAGTGCCTTCCCATATAATCTGCACACTACTGAAGGGCGTCCCACATGGATCTACTCGCCTACTCCTTGAAAGGACGTTGCAAATTCTGTCAAAAGCTCACATCATGGAATTCGCCTCTGTACTACAGCTTTTTAGCCTTCTTTTCGAGTCTGCGCACTGGGGACCGGAAGCGGACACGTCTTTTATCAGAGGTGTCTGCCGGTCTAAACCCTTATTCACGTTCCTATTCTCCGCTCTCCGAGACCCAGAACAGATCCACCCAACGATGGAAAGGGAACGCCGTACCGTTGCCCCTTTCATTTTCCGCTTTATCAATTCCTGCTTTGACAAGCTGAACATTGCCCCGACTCAAGAAATCGAGTCGTTCTTGAAACTACTCTGCAAACATGCGAAACTGCTGGACATCCTGGAGATGATGATGACACAGGGCGACACCTCTCAGATCGAGCTACGTACGTTGTCACCATCCCCTCTTTGCCCACTGAAATTCGACCGCGCATCTTTCTTTCATGCGTTGTATACTGACCAGACTGATTGGAATCCCTCAGAATATGTAGGTGACTGCATTACAGGCATTACACAGCTGTTAGAGGGACGACCAGTCCTTTTGCCCATCGTCCGAGCCGACCTTCCCCGTCCTCGCTTGAAGCATGCTTGTCTAGAGAAAGCCCTTGGCGCCTCTGTTCAGCCACTTATACGCGTCGAGGGGCCATCATTGCAAACCCACGCGTGGTACCTCGTTGATCAATTTGAGAACATGTGCCAGGTTGACCGCCAGTGCATGAGAAGGGGCTGCAAGCGGACGCGTAGAGCACGATGCAAAGATTGCAAGGTGACGGAGTATTGTAGTTATCAGTGCCAGAAAAAGTGAGTGCGCTCAATCTTTTTTTTTCCATGCGAACTGGAAGGCCTGACCGAAAGGACTCTGCTATTTTTTGACCAGGGACTGGCCGGACCACCGTCTTGTTTGCGGGCTTAAATACCAGGCCAACAGCTTTTTCGACAAGGCAATTGTTACGGGAATACCGGACAGGTTCCCTTTCAGGTTTTCGCGAGGGGGATCACCGGTGTTCTGACAAACGACAGTGTTCGTTCTACCTATGTGTTCGATCTTACTCCCTCTCAACTTCATCCCTGGCAGCTGGTACTGTTTTCTTCTTCTCAGGTACCTCCAGCATCGTTCTTTCTATTGTGTTCTGCTATTGCCCTACTAGCTTTCGATTCATGACCGTACAAGACCAGAAATTTCTTCATTGACATACTTAGAGTAGTTTCTAGAGCGCAGTGCGCCAATGCATGAATCAGGACTGAGAAATTTTGCGATATCTGCGTCGCTCGTAACAGCACCTCTGCCGTAGAATGCTATCGCACCCATTGGTAAAATGTGCCTTCGGCGGCCGGGGATGGTCTGGTTCTAAACGTAACCATCGCCCTGAATAATGTCATGTCAAATATTCAACAAGCAAGGAAAGTCCGAGACGGAGCATAAGATAAGTTGTGAGATGCTCAAAGAAAGACGGTGGCGGCGTATGAGAAAGCCATATTGACGGAAAGCCCATCTAAAGCTCATCCGAGCCCACACATACCTGTACCGCCCATGTGATTCACTCAAGACTGGTAGGTGGCCTGCTTAGCACAAAACCAATCAATGAAGGCGTATACGTCCGAGCGTTGACTAGAACTTCTCATCATTGCCCTCTGGTAAAGAGAGGTCCAGCAGGCGCAAAAGCTTTGAGCGATGGCATCGAGCAGATAGTGAAGGGGTACAGTGTTACACACGGCATAGAACTCTACGCGGAAGTACATAGACGTTTGGATACTGAGAGCGAAAGCGGAAGCGATGCGAGTGCGTGGATAGCAATTGAAAATCGACTGTACGATGTGATGGTGTCAAGATTAGACCACATCGCTCCGAAAATGGCGAGAGTGAACGAAGACATACCAAGAGAGCAAGCTGATAGCACAGATGAAGAAGGAAATTGTGTTGGGGATTACGCAGGAGCCAGGGAATGAGTGATTTGTTGAGCGAGGAGGGTCGGTGCGAGGAGGATCGGTGCGAGGAAGATCGGTGCGAGGAGGGTAGGGACGATTCGGGCGGAAGACTGAGTGTCCCGGATCGCGACCTGGATTGAACATAGAAAACGATCAGCCGAAAGGTCCCCGAGCCAGCGCAGAATAATATCGCATGGAAAATATCAACGTGGTGAAGATGAGTTTGACCGACCATGATATCCCGACGCAGAACTTTCAGCTCCTCCGCCAAACGATACATCTCCCAAGTCAATCCTTTTCCGACATCCCAGACTTCCAAATGGAGCGCTGTCTCGGCATTGACGCATAGGTGGATCGTCCTATACTGGTCTCTGCACCTATAGATGCGAAACGATCGTGTCGAACCCCAGCGAAGCAGAGGATAATACTTATTAGCTCCGCATTCGACGGTTGAAGGCGAGCAGAACATATGAACTTCCCAGTAAACGAGAGAAACTCACCTCGCGAGACGGCTTTCGAGACTCTGAATGTCTACGTCCTTCCTGATCGCTTCCTCCAATTCATCCCTCACATCCCTCAGCGCCACTTCCAACTTCTGCATCTGCGCCTGCGGGCGCACGTACCCCAGAATCTCGTAGGTAAAATCCAACAAAGTCACCGCGTTCATGAAGATGCCAAAGTTGTTCGCAGCGGCCATGATGATTATCTAGGAAATTCCGGGATTTATGGCGAGGGTGGTGTTGCGAGCTGAGGAGGGGGTGTATTTGGGTACTGCAGGCTGTGATGGCCACGTGTGGAGCGGCATCAAGCGATTGATATTCCCATATACAAGCGACGACGAGAGGGAGGATGTCGAAGAGGAAGACGACGAGGTGAAAGGACCAGAGGGGAGGGATGCGGACTTGAACATCGTATGTGGCCTTGTACCGGCATGCACGACAATGATCGGGAGGGTAACGTTAGCAACGACGCAAAGGATAACAAGATAGGCAGCCCACAGACGAGTGCTGGCATGAGTGAAAGAGATCGTGTAGAGTATGAGATATAACACGATCGTATTGCAGACACGACCAGATGTTGAAGGCGCCACTGCAGAATGAGACCAGCGACCGCTGTTTCACGAGTTAACCAGAAAAGCATTGTAGATGATACGAGCCCATTGAGGGCATGACCAGTGGTGCCTATGGAAGGCTCACGATGTTCGCAGAAAGAAAGGGGGAGAAACCCAAGAAAGTGCGTTTGATCAGAATGCAATGGTCGCACCCGACACGCAAATTCCGAGGCAACCAAACGACAGACCATTATAAGTCAGCCATAAATCCCTTGAAACTAAGCAGAGCGGTACATGGCGGTAGTAGATAATGAGGGATGGGGAAGCGAGGAGAGCGACAACGATGAAGGTGAAGGTGCAAGCGAAAGAGGCGCCATGGGATTTTGCTTGACTGCCACAGAGGCGCTCGCGATCGGAAAACACGGTGCAATTATTTCGCAAATGGCCTAATGCAGTAGTTTCACGAGCGCCTACTGGGTGGGCTTCTTAAGCGCTGGCGCATCAGAGCGCTGATCAGGGCGCCTAAAATATCGGAACGCCAAGCGCCCATGTGGGATTACTGCTTTTGGTAGTCACCTCTTCCGCATTCCGTTTGCTTTCGGAGGTCAACAACGACACACAATGATACCGCAAGCACCTCTTCCCTCATACCTTCACCCCCTCTCTTCTTCCCTCCATTTTGTCCTCACGACTTCGCCATGAGCGACCATGAGCGACCAGCAAGCGTGTTGTGGTCTCGACATTAGGCTACGGCTCTGCCTGTACACTCGTCATCGTTGGCTCTTTGATTCCACTTTGATTCTTGAATAGCATGAACTTCTGCTGTTCTCTACCCGGTTCTCTCTCCTCGGGATGTTCACCAGGCCATTACTGATCTGTGTTAGCAAAAACTGGAGTTCTCAACAACCATATCCTTACCTTGATGCGACCTTTGTTTGATTATGAGTCCCCGTAGCGGGGTAAGTCATAGCTGAGGGAGCTTTCATCCATTCGCTGTCGTCTCGCATGCCCGGCAAGGGCTCTCCTATGCCCATATTCCCTCCTCCCCACTCTGTCGGGGCCATTGACAAGACCACCAGTCTCTAGGTCATCCTATCTCACAAACTTCCCAGACCCAGATCGTCCACATGGCTTTTGTCGACAGGTCTCACCGTCGTCTCTTTCGCCCGTCAGCGGTCATTCTACACCCCGTCTACAACGTCTCAAACTCGTCCTCAGTCTTCCTCCACAAGCCTGCTCATCATATTGACCCATATGGGTCCTCAATGCACGTGCAGTCACTGCCTTGTTCCCACAACCTGCTCGACCACATACGTCTCGTCCTCGGGCGCAGGAGACAGCCCATTCCCCTACAAATCCGCAATAAAACCCACATTTCATTCGACTAACTCAAGCACGCGTCTGTTCGCAATGTCTACCGCCGCTAACAATTTTGGCTCTTTCATGAACGCTCTCGCCTTCGTCTGCATCGCTATTAAGATTGGCCGGAAGGTTCTGCCGAGGACGCAACTGGAGATGTTGGAGCAGGCTTTGAAGGAGACGAGGGCGGGTATCAAGGAGGCGAGTGTGTTGTGTATTAATGTCAGGGTTTTTGAGGATGCTCTTCGAGGGTACGTCTTAGCTTTTTTCCTGCGTCGCATTCATTCGGTCTGCCCACGATCCATCTTGGTTTATCATTTCGGTTCTGAGGTCTCTATCCTGTTACTCACATAATCCAATCGTAGACTTGAAGAAGAACATCAGTCGCTCTACATTCAAGCCTACACCGTCACTTGGTTGTCTGTAGCCGCCGATCTGCGAGTAAACCTCTCGTTGAAGGTCCACGGCGTGTTGAGCCGGGTAAAACGCCTCAAACAGGACGTCATGGTCAGTGCTCATTCGCCTGCTTTCTACCCTACGCATTCTCTGCACCAGTCGTCCAATCTAATCAACGGCTTTATCTATGCCCCAGGCTGAGATCCGTACATCAGAAGTCAATAACATTTGGGTCGAGGCTAAGATAGATGGGTCCGTCTGAGCTTTACCTATCATTCCTATGACCCTCGTTTTCTATGATGTAGGATATCCGCATCGATCTGAATTGAATGAGAAACTTGAACCATTTCTCTACTCTTCTTGCATCTCGCGACGGTCTGTCTGAGCAAGTGACTGCAATATTAGAGGACGGAGGCAAATGTATACTCTGGGAAATTTGCTTCCGAACCTCCACGCAATTTGCCGCCACTCGCGACCGCTGCACCAAATGCGTAGTACTAATTTTTACGGACACGAAGTGGTTTGTTCGCCTTCGTTTCCGGTATGCCATCGTCGTAAGTTCTCCTTACGATGTCTATCTCTTTCCGCAAGCTCCGTAATGAATGTTGACCTTTCATTCTTATGCTCGTCACACATGTCCTCTAGAACTCAGTGGGTCGGTCTTTGGCTAATCGCCGAGCGACGGTGCTCAAGCAAGTCCGCAAAGTTAGTCCAACTTCAAAGCAAGTCAGAAACATAAGTAATCACCATTTCGTTCATTCCTCACGGTGACTTGGACTTCGAAATGCGGGATGTGCCTGCATCCACTGTCTCATGCTCGCAATTTCTGGAAACTTGCATATTCCGTCCGTAACATGTTTCGAGACGACTTGAACAATCTTGACTATGCTACCGGCTCAGAAGAAAACGAACCATAGACGGCCGTGCGGTCCTGACAAAATCCCGAGCAGACTGTCCATTTCATTGGCCCTTGTCGCCGTTGACCTTAGAAGGTTCTACTCGATTCTGTGCTTCTGCAAGCTGACGGTCTTCGGTCTTTGAACCTGTCCGTCCCGCCTTGCTCATAGTTCGCGTAACTTGAAGCCGACATTTGTTCCAGTAGAACGACGCCAATGTGGGTTCAGTATCCGCCACAAACATGCACGGCACGGTGCAGGACTGGTATAAGTGCTCTGGCTTTGGAGCTCATACAACAAGTTTATAACTTATCCTAGAAACGACGACGAGGTACGAATCATTGCACCGCTTACAAGACTGGTCGTGCGTCACTGATAGCTTCATCGCCTAGGACCTCTGGACGAAGCCATGACAAACGGCACCTGTATCACGGAGAATGTGTCGCAGCTCGATCTCCGGGCTGCGCGTCTCAACTTTATTGGATTGGTTTTAGGTGGAGTGACATTTGGTACGTATCACATTGTCGTCCATGCGCCCGCCTACTGAGGAGATGCTCGACCGCATCCAGGAGTGCACATCTGTATCTTCTTCTCCGCGGCGTATCTCACCACCAAAACTCGTCTCACGAGGAAAGATAAATTGTGGAAAGGATTACAGACTCTTATTCTGTTCATCCTCGGGACCGTTCATCTGATCACGATCTGCTTGGAGGAGGAGTTGATGCTGGTTAAGCAAAGCTTTGAGGAATCGACTTTTCGGACCATGGTGAACCTACCCCTCCCGTTAAATACGATTGGCCATGTCAGCTTTCTGGCGATTGATATACTCACTAACATGATTTTGGTACGCCCGCGATACTTCCTCAGTTTGCTTTGTATGTCCCACTGACTACCAGGCTTGTACTCAAGGTAAACCGTCTATGGATCGTGTGGGATCATAGTCGCCGCGTAGTCGCGGTCCCCACGTTGCTCTTCGTGGCGTTAGTTGGTGCGTCGAGACCTCCAAATATATTAGCACCTCCACACTATCGTCCCTAACACCAAACTACTTATTCCAGTGCTCAGCATCGTATCGACCATAGACCTCCTACGACCCGAATCGCCCATCTGCTTAAACCAAGCTCTCCCTATGTCCATAGTCGTCGGCTGCTGCTCGATCTCCATCAACATCTTCGTGACTCTCAACATCATGTACCGTCTCCTCTCCATGCGCCGATTGATCCGCCAAGCTCTACCAATGCGAGACGTCAAGATGTACACCTCCCTGAGCGCGATGATCGTTGAGTCGGCAGCTCTGCCTACGGTCCCGTACTTGATCTACCTCGTATTCTATGCGATAGACAGTGGCTTTCGAGCGGTTGTTCTTCCGCTTGTGGTTCAATCGATGGTGCGTCAGATCGACTGTCTTGTTTTTGGGTGTTTATGCAACCATTGTTTCAGCGGCTAATACCTATGTTGGTGTTCATGAACGGCAGTGTATAGCTCCGGAGTTGATCATCCTTCGAGTCGCGCTCGGACACGCGTGCCAGTCGCACAGAGCAGCTACACAAGCAGCCTCTGTTCATCTTATCGCAAGAGGGGGTCGAAGTGCCTTAGATGATAATGGGACGACGGCAGATATTGATTTTGGGTTGGGTACAGTGTAGACGAATGCTGATGTGGAGGGATGCTACTTAGGCAGGTACTCTGACCACATCCGCAAAATACATGCATTCCTTCAAATCAACCCCTTCCGCATCGTCTCTCCGACCTTGACCATGACCTTGACGTCGACTTCGTCAAGCTGTTATTGCGAGAATGTGTATAACCTCCGGATCCGTGGCCGTGATTGTGACCATGAGCGTTGGCGCTGCTACTGGTTGAACTTCCGGCTCTCCTCCCAGGCGTCGACGAACTATGCGCGACGGCACTCGTGCTCGAAACCGGCACCAATAAATCACCAGGTCTCGCTTTCGCTTTCATAGGTTTCTTAGTAGTACTACTCCTCGACCCAGACCCGGACGGAGAAGAAGAAAAAGGCGAGAGTGGCGAGGTGAAAGACAAAAAAGGAGGTCAAAACCAGAGTCGATCGAGGAGCCAGATTTGGTTCGCACGGCACCAGATAACTTTGAAGTGATTGTGATATTGTAAGGAGCCGTGAGTTCGTGTAGAGACATGAGTCGGACGGTGCGAGCGTGCGTGTGTTGCGGGAGTATATGATGCAGGGCGGAGATGAGAAGGAAGAGCGCGCGCGCCGGCGAACTCGTGCAGTCTGCCAAACAAAGAGCCAAATACGCCGTCCCCGTGACCGTGCAACAAACGTAAACTTTCGCATTGCGGACAGATGTTTGTTTTGCTGTACCGTGACGTCCCTCCGCTGGGACCACCAACAGCAATATCGCTGCTCGCGCCTCAGGACTGGGGAGGTGTCTTCTTGCTTTTGATTGTCAGAATTCACGATGCCTTACTTGTCGCTTAAAGCTGTAGGCAGCACAGCCCGCGACTTCTGCATGCTTGAGAGAAATTACCTATCGCACATCAGAGTGTGTCGCCTCGCCACCGTCGTACTCACACTTATTCACTAACGAAAAATCAGCTTGCTCTTCTCCTGGTCCTAATCTCTGCAGCCGTTCTTCTGCAAACCCGGCTTTCAGGTCCAGATGAAGACTCAGAGTTCCGTCCAGGAAAGAGTATCGCATTGGCTTCTCTCGAAGTCGTTGCAGCCTTAGTCGTTGTAGCCGGAGGCTTCTGGCAGTACGACTCCTGTTTACGGGACATGAGAGCTCGCCGGGCCTTCCTTAACTCTACTACGTGAGCTCTTCGATGCCGCTCAATACAGCATGTATGTGCTGACTTGCAATGAAGGCCTCATCTCGCCGTCATGACAGTCGTCTCTGCTGTGGTGTTCGTGACATGCGTTGTCTTACTTGCCGATGACGGTGATATTGGCCAATATATAGCTACGAACTGACAGAATTGTGGCTTTGAAGATGCGTTCGTATTCACTGTTGTAGTATCGGCGTCTCGAATCATATACTTAGCTCACTTGCTATTCCACCCTCACAATGCTCCGTCGATATCACTAAGTACGAGATTCAGCGGTACTCCGTGAAGCCGGAAACTCAGAAAGCATTAGAGTAGAACTCGGGGACGGACTGAGACTCGGACGCAAAGAGCCACCGTGGCACTTTGCTTCCGTCTCGCCATGGACGCAAATATCGCGTGGTAAACACGTGGGACCCAACTACGCCTAATAGGGGCCCTCGATCAAACTTAACGCGCTCAACATCTCTCACATCTTTGTCTCTCTTCCGACGCACACTGCGTTAAAGCAGTCTTGGCCGACCCAAGGTAGACCATGGCGGATATTACATGCGCAAAGGCGGTGCGCATATAGATGTCGGTAAGAAGTTGTTTGCAGGGGTGGAAGAACTTAGACTTGAACGGCGCCGCGGCGGCACGTTGATGCCCCACATCAGCGACAAGTCGCGAGAGTCAGAGAGTCGAATAGTCCGAAGAAACTTCAATCGCGTTCATTCGTTCATTTATTCAAGATACATCAAAGCACAGTACGAAGCAAAACTGTTCTATGAGACCATCCAAGACCCAGTCCATCTTCCGAGAAATATTCGAGTTGCAGAAGGAAACGAGAATCAAGACTGTAATGTGATACGAGAAGGAGAGCGTGCACGGTCAGCAATGCCCCGACGTAAATCATGGAATGCTGTAGAGCCGGCTGGGATGGTGACCGGAGGGTATGTATACTCACCAGAGAAGGGCACTTCGGCACTTTCCCTGCACAGACGCTCATTGCCTGCAACGTCAAACAGCCTCTCCGATATGCGCGTCGACGCCGGATTCTTTCTGGCGGATCGCAGACTAGGATCGCCGGAGTGAAATGGAAAGGAAATTAGAACGAAAGAGAGCATAGTATGAAAACAAGATGTATGGACAGGCGTCGAGGAAAGACGAAGATAGCACTGACCATGATGTCCTGCTTCAATCGGTTTGCCTCACAAGCGGCCTCATAAATCTCGTAGGTCAAGATGAAGCGGTAATCAACAGAGAGAACGAGATAGGTCATGGAGTATGTTTTGATGTAGAGGATGCGGCGCTGATCATCGAGACTACGACCAAGGAACGTGAGCACAAATTCTCGCGTAAAACCAAGGAAATGGAGCAAGACTGCCCCGACACGTCTGCCACGAACCAGACCAGGCTAGCTAACATGAAGTGAACAGCGGGAAACATACCGTACAAAAGATGCCTCGAAAGCCGCCACATCAAGCTGCAGCTGCTTCGCCTTTCCACACGCCTTTCTCGCCTCCTTCAGCGTTTTCGCGAGCTTCTCCATCTGCGTGCGCGGCAGCGCCTTAGAACCAATCCTGAAGGCCACACCAAAGAAGGCCAGGGAGTTCATGAAGGAGCCAAAGTTGTTCGCGGCAGACATTTTTGCGATTAAAAGGGTAAGATGCTGGGGACGCTGTCGACGATCCGAGTACAGGACTCGCGGACGGCGGTGTATGGCGTGACTAGTCACGACTGTCACCGCACGTGTAGTGACGAGGTCTGTATGATCTGTGCTGTTGGGAGTGACCGTCGTCGAGAGCGATATAGGGGCGGCTTGAATGCCGATTGTCGAAAGACGTCGACGAGAGTTGAGCAAAATGAGTCTGTAGTGATGGTTGATAAGTCAGGATACATGAGTTTCGGTTTTCATTCACGCAGGGACAGCGTGCACGGCGAAAAGTTAGATGGCAGTGTTGAATAAAAATGAAGGATGAACGCACCATGACCGATAAATCTTTGTAGGACGACGACTGATGATAAACCGAAGGACCAAACCTGGAACTATTAGACAATAGCCTGCCCCGGCCTAAAACCGAGAAACTTCGAAGGTATAATCGTCTGCTTCGGAACCCGATGCTCTACGTAGTCGAAAGACATATTCCTTTCACCAGATACATGAAAGCCGGATCATGGGAATTGTTGCATCAATATTAATGCGGCAGCACTCACAGTGCTCTACGAAAGATAAGCATGAGCGACGCATAGTGAAGAATGAGACGACTCAACTGAAGGTGGGCAGCATTTAAGCAGTTGCAACGACCTGGAGGAGCGATGGCGACGGCAATGATCAAGGCGTGGGTCGTTCGCGGCCAAGCCATCCGAGAGAGAGTAGACGGTGACGCTAGATGGGAAGGAGTGGGAGGAGGAGGGACTTCAAGAAGTTTCAAGCGAGGAAAGACAGAAGATGAAATGGTGGTGGGAGGGACAGGCGGGTCGGTCGCTGTGGTGGGCGATACTTTGGGCGATTTGGTCTTGCAAGCTGGGGCACGGAGCCGGCGGGGCGGCGCGCATACGATGCGCGCTAATTCATGCCGTTGAATGACCTTCCTGACGACAATCCGAGAGAATTCGAGCGCGCCCCGCCGGCTCCGTACCCACCCCACTGCAGCTTGCAATTGCCATTCCGCCCCAAGACCAAATCGCCCAAAGTATCGCCCACCACAGCGACCGACCCGCCTGTCCCTCCCACCACCATTCCATCTTCTGTCTTTCCTTGCTTCAAACTACTTGAAGCCTCTCCTCCTCCCACTCCTCCTTCCCATCTGGCGTCACCGTCTACTCTCTCGGATGGCTTGGCCGCGAACGACCCACGCCTTGATCATTGCCGTCGCCACCGTCCTCCCAAGTGAAGTTCACCCAACTCAGTTCTTGAAGTTGTTCCAGGACTCCACCCTTTCGATGCTCTACGACTTAGAGCGATTCCTCGTTCCGTATCACCTTTCTGTTGGAGATGTGCGTCATCGACCAATCGTGGGCTCGAGTAGGCACAAAACCTCAACATAAATTCGCGGAAGGTACGTGCTCCTGCGGTTTCAAAAGTTTCCCTGCATTCCTTCATGAACATCATGGGCTGTAGTCCTTTACCCCCACCTTGCTTAGAAACCGTCTATCTCCGTTACAATTGTAATACGTACGAGGAGTCCTCTATCATCCGTACGTTCAACACTCCGATCTTCGAACCCTGCCACATCGCATGACTTATTCTCCTGATGCCAACGATAGCCGTACCCCGTTGCTGCCGTGCTCGTCCTGCTAACGTCTATACTGCCTATACAACCCTGCGCTAGGTCATCAGTGGCATCACACTGGCGCCCTTGTCGCTTGGTTCTCGGTCTTGGTCTTGGTCACCTTGAATAGGTCTTCTCGTTTACCTCTCTCGCTTGTGGGAATCTTGCGCACAATGCCGCCTTGTACACGTGGCTATTGTTACCGATTGCAGAAACCTCGCGAGGTCGATACCTGTATTTTTGCCGTCATTTTTCACGATTTTATTCCCTGCGTTATGGCCGCCGCCGACAACTTTGGTATCTTTATAAATGCTCTAACTTTCGTCGATCTTATCTTCTGGATCATCGGTTACGTTCGTCCGGGGGAGCAGCTCAAGGTGCTCGAAGATCTCCTCGCGGACGCTGAAGACGAGCTCGACAGGGCGATGAGATTGTGGATGGACTCTGACACTGTGGCTCTGGGAGATCGCTTGCAGAGGTACTTTTTAGATAAAACTTGTTTTCCGTACATCTAGAACTCAGTCTCCAGCTGCCGTTGTCATTCGGCTAACTTTTGTCTTTTTTGGCGCCGTCTCACCTTACCCGCAGGCTCAGAGGCCAGAACCGAGATATCTTTCAGCGTATCGAGAATGAGAGAAGTTTGTATGGGGAAGCGTCAAACGTATTATCTGGCGTGAACTGGAACATATTTTGCTTGACCAAGGAGTTGAGGATCCTGATCTTGGATATCATGGTACGCCGTAATCACTTGTGTCGAGCTCCTCCCTCGTGTACCATCTGTTGAGCAACGTGTCGTGTCTGAACGGAATTTTTATGATCATCCCCTTCTTTATATGTTCAGGTCACCGTCGAGACTTTTAAAGCCAGTGTCGCTGCCGTTACCGCCAGTGGCGGCACTGAGCAGGATGCACAAACGCAGGCGTCCGCGAGTTCCGCTGTTTAACAGCCATTATCGATGTCTCCACTTGCACTGGGTACGTCAATCCTCCTCTTCGTGTGATACGGCCAAGAATCACTTATCATGACTTCCAGTCTTTCACCAGTCTCGTCCAACAAGTCTCGCTCTCCCATTGCTTTCCTCTGCTCTGAAGTCTCATTGATGTGAATGGACAATTCCTAAGACCTGTACATCTGCTATGTTTCCTGCTGTTATCTTCGCTATCCGCGCTGTTCTGTCCTACCTGCTTTCGCAATCAATCATCGTTTCGTGCCTCCTCTTCCTAGGCACAAGTTGGCCTCGAGAACTTCGCAGCTGGTCCTTCGTGGGAAGCCCGCACAGGCTGTGCTCTAGTTTGCACAAGTTTGCGGAAGGCTGTACATCTCGCTCCTTCGCTCGCTCATGATCTCCTGTGGCTCAGATATAAGTAGTCATGCACTCGGGGGCTAAAGTTCAAGTTAGCGGTGATGTGTGAAGATGCAGTAGTTGGTCGACTTGGTTTTCTTGCTTCCACCCTCCGTAAATGGCTATGCAAGTTCCGAGAAGGATGAGTGTAAGTGTCTCGCACGCGATTCGGCGCTACTGTGATTCTGTCCGCGGACAGAACGCCACACGAACGCCATTTTCTTGCCATTTGGTCTCCTACCATCCTCCTTAGCTTCAGCTTCGGATAACGTGGAGTATGGTGTTTGGGTCGGTGGCTTGCCAGCTGGAGGTGAGTTTGGTATGAACCTCGCTGTCAGCGCGTTGATTTATGAGTTTTGGTATAGCCTCCTGGTTGGACGAAGTCGTACCGATGGAGTCAATGTGTGTAGACTCGTCGGGAGCTCAGTGGACATGGTACGGTATCACGAAGTGAGTACCCCGTCCCTCTTGCTGATCACGGCGCATTAGGGTATCCGAACGTCGCCTTTTAACAGCAGCTTTCGGGTTTCTGACGTTCAAAGTATTCTCGGTGATCGCTGAAAGGGGATTGAGACTGCGATGAATTCATAGTCACGAGCTCTCGCTTCTGACCTACAAGAGTTGAATGCCCGGTGATGGGGGTCTGAAAGTAGTCGCATTCGTCCGATGATGACCATGCTTTAGACTGGATTCCCAGATGTTCTCGCACGTAGGTCTGATGGACCGTACGCAATTTTTGTAGAGCGTTCGTGCTCATATTTTAGTTGAGCGTCATCACACTGAAGCAACCGGGCCAGAGGGCAGGTGCATTCAGAGCGTATAAGAGGCCTCCTCCCCATGTTCGAAAGTGCACTCCATCCCCAACAACCGCCCACCTTCAACATGTTCAATATCCTGCGGTATGTCATACCGCCTTTCACCTGTCTTTCCCCCATGTCACTGAAGGCAGCTTGAAGCGTTCTCGCTTACACCTGTGCCATGGTCCCACTGGCTGCGAGCTTCATCCTGGACACGCCCGCTAGCACAATCACCTCCGGGGAAGAAGTAACCATCACCTTCACCAAGCAGCTCGGCGACCCCAAGAGGTTTACTCTCGAGCTCGTAAACACCGATTTGCATTCGGCTTTCGCCATTGCGAACGACGTCTCGACGTCTGCTGGGGAGATCATCATTGCTCTTCCTATCGTTGCCGCTAGGTGAGCTCTTTTTCAGTTGAAACGTTCTGTCGACAAGGTGAGCAACGTGACTGACTTGTGCGTCGCTGATGTAGTGACGACTATGCACTCCGAGCTGTTAGCATCAGGTGAGCTGCTATGACTGTTTCTATTCTCCCTAATGTTTTCTCAATGTCATTCACACACGATGTTCTGCACTGCCAGCGACATCGACGTGATATACGCTTTAACCGCGATCTTCACTATATTGGCCGACTAGCAGCAAGCCCGTGCTACGCACGGGGCTAGCAGAGGAACTACTTGAGTGGAAATGAAAGCTTGACGACAAAAAACCTGAAGGGTCTTCCTCGAACTCCGGGTCGAGGCGCTATCGCGCCTCGCCCCTCCGTTCTCCAAAAGACCCCCCAGTGTTACATTCCCGCAGGCTGGCAAAGCATCCTATTTGGCATGAGAATCCCGTGGAGACAGGATTTCACACCCACAATAGCGCACCATGAATGGAGTCCTAATAAGTAACTTACTTTGACTGCCATGCAGAGTGAAGGCCCGCCGCATGCCCGCCACAGCGCATCCGCTACCTTACAACGTTGAGAAGTGGATGCCAACAGACGAAAACTCCACCTCAAAAGCTGCCGCCTAATGTGTCAACGTCGACCGTGGCACGCATCCGCGCAGCGGCTCTGCAACGAACCTTCGAGAGCCTTATGGTGGCGCTGGGCCACAGACTTAGTCAGCTGATGAAGCCCCGCCGGCTTGGCTAGCCAATCATTTATCGAGCAGGTTTGTCTTTATGTTTGTCTGCGTACTGTAGTATAATAGACTAGCAGCAAGCCCGTGCTACGCACGCGGCTAGCAGAGGAACCGCTTGAGTAAAGTTGAAAGCTTGACGAGGAAAAACTGAGGCTCTTCCTAGAACTCCGGGTCGAGGCGCTATCGCGCCTCGACCCTTCGTTCTCCAGAAGACCTTCCAGTTCTACTTTCTCCCAGTTCCAGCTGAGGGAGTAAACAAGATGTTAGTACACCCTCCCCATGCACGAACCTCGAGCTCGAAGCTATTACAAGCTGCAGAACGACGTTGCGAGTGCGATGATTTCAGCTAGATATCCGATGTCCTAAACTTTGGAGAGCTGTGGAGGTGACACCCGCTTCATGACCACCTTGAAACCCGCCTGGCCTGACAGTACCAAGTATAGTTTTGCCTCAGGCATGCCGCCATGACCTCTGTCGTACAGTAGAAGCAACCAGTCTGTGCATTACCGCGGGTCTTTCAATATCCTCTGCCTCAGGAGATGCTTACGTCTGAGACCGTCAACCATCCCGAAAAGTTGTACTGGAGCTGACAGTATTGAATGAACTGCAATCCAGCGGTATGAATGAACCCCATACTCGCTCTGAGACTTGTCTGGAAGCCAAGAGATGAGCACAAGTATCGGAACATGACCGTCGGGGAACTTTCGAGAGCGACGGAACAAGTGCACGTGTACGTGGCAGTGCAAGTTCGGACCCGGCCGAGGCGCCCCAGCCAATCGGATTGCGTCTTTGTCGTTTGTGTCCGCGCTGTAGTATACTGTACCATTTCGATCGGATGCCATGGTCACACGTCACAGACCCCCCATGGCATAAGGTCTGAGTATCGCAATAATTTTCTTTCGCTTTTTCGGATTTTCAAAGTCGTGTCACACGAGAAATCTCATGGCATCCGATCGAAATGGTACAGTAGTAGATTGAAGCGCCTCTGTGGCGCGAGCTATCCAAGGAAATATGTTGGCTGTAGTTGTGAACTTGAAGGCACTGCATGAATGAAGATGATAATCCCTCGATTCGGATCCTGTGCATGGCTCGGCGTGGTCGACCCTTTGACCTGCTATAGTAGCATCACGAAGTCCACAATTTCGTTCCAAGTACCTAGATATACATGGAGTTCGTGAGACGTCACAAACCTCTAAGAATGCCGTTCACGCCCCAATCACATCAGCCAACTGCGTTTTCGGAATCGCCGCATCGAATGCCAATCGCTCCAACCTCGTATGTGTAGCCTGCTCATACGCGAACGCATAGCTAATGAGCTGGAACTCGCTGAAGGCGGTGCCCATGAAGGCGAGGCCGAATGGAAGGCCTGGCGCCGTACCGATGACGGGATCTGCAGCGGACGCATTCACGTTGGCGGGTTGAAAGCCAAGGGGAACTGGTCGCAGGCAGTCAAATGTTAGTTAGTAGAAATATGGCGGAGGAGATAAAGGCGCTTATACCGGTAACGATAGGATATCCAGCGATAGCAGCAGGCCCAGAGGTAAATCCTGTCGGTCGGGAGCATGCATTAGTAGTGAATTGTAGGCTAGAGATATGCGGGAAAGGTTACGCTTACCGTCTGTAGGAAGAAGAATGGCATCTAATCCAAACATTTGAAGTGTGGCGTCGATGCCTCTTGTACGGCCAAGGTCGTGATCGGCGTCAAGAGCGGCGAAGTAGGCAGCGTCCATCGTCGTGTTTTCACAAGCGATGAACCTGTGGTATAACACGAGAAAAGGTCAAATTAATGATGCACATATACCTGGAAGACCTTCACGAACTCGGACTGGTCTGTCCAGAAGGGCTCAGGCAATTCTTCTGCTGCATGTGCAGAATTGAAGGCGATCAAATCCGCGAGATCAGTGACGTTCGTCGGGACCTACAACGTCACATCATATGGCAATTCAGCAAGATTATATTTGACACTTGAAAACGAAACAGACCTCCAAGAGTCCATCAATGTAGTTCTTCACGTCGACCTGTTCGCCGGCGCCACATCCATTAGTCTCTCGCCACACTACACACGCCACCTGATCCTGCGGCACAATCTTGGACGCACCTTGAAATCTGCATCCAACACAGTGGTCTCATTATTACTGTCCAACATCTCTTGTGCATCAGGGAACTCCGCCGGGTCCACGACCTCTGCGCCCAAAGCCCTGATAATCCTAATACTCGCATTGAACGCAGCGATGATATTCTGGTCGTTTCCTGTGAAGAGCCTCGGGACGCCGAGTCGCACACCCTTGAGAGCATTAGGATCAAGTGCGAGAGTGAAATTGGGGAGAGGAGTGGGTTGGGCGAGGGTGAAGTTGTCGAGGGGATCGGGGCCGGCTATGATGTTGAGGATCTGGGCTGCGTCGGTGACGGAGCGGGCCATAGGGCCAACGGTGTCTTGGTTGATGGATATAGGGATGACTAGATCAAAACGTCGTGTTAAAGAGCATGGACCAGCGACACGGAGGGAGACAAATGACATAGTTTGAACATGCATACCTCCTGCACGCGAAGTCAGACCAACTGTGGGCTTGATCCCTACCAAATTATTCCTGCTACTTGGACTAACAATCGAACCGTCTGTCTCACTACCGAGTGCTGCGGTCGTGAGTCCTATAGACGTAGAAACACCGCTTCCAGAGGAAGAACCCGAAGGGTCGCAGAGGGGAAAGTAGGCGCAGGAAGTTTGGCCACCTCGTCCAGAAAACCCATTCGGGACGTTACCGCGGAAGTTTGCCCATTCAGAGCTGGTCAAATAAAGTTAGTCAATGTTTCTGTCCGAATTCAGTGCATATCACAGCTGGAGGACTCACAGATTGGCTTTCCCAAGAAGGATTGCTCCTGCTGCTCGAAGTTTGGCCGCCACTGTGGCGTCGCGCGGAACGATTGAGCCAAGGAGAGCGAATGATCCTGTTGTGCAGAAGCTATGTCAGACTTATTCCTCTACAAACGCACAGATGTTACATGCCTGCAGTGGTATTCATCCCTGCCAAAGATGATATCATGAGCTCGAACAATGCAATATCGCACCTCAGGCGCTGCTGTCTCACCATCACTAGCCTGGGTCGCAATATTGTCCTTCAAGAGAATTGGAATGCCGTGCAGTGGGGTTCGAATAGTCCCATTAGCTCTCTCAGCATCGAGGGCTGCGGCTTGGGCTAATGCACTTGGGTTCATTTCGATGATGGCGTTGAGCATAGGTCCTTGGTGATTCACTTCATTGATCCGTGCGAAATACGCCTGTTATACACGCAATGTCAGGCAACTACCAGGAACCGATGAATAGATGGATAGACGTACAGTGACCAGATCAACGCTGGTGAAGAGCCCTTGCTCCAGTCCGGACTGCAGCTCGGCTATGGACGCCTCGTAGAGGTCCGGTAAGGTGGCATTGGAAGCCAGGCGTCTTGTTGGTGAAACTATTCGCCTTGGGTCAGGTGGGAGTGTCGTCCCGTCGATGATGCCCCTACCGGCATTCCCGAGCGCAAACTGATAGATGAAGGCGAGCAAGCAGACCAAGAAAAAGTGGATCCCGTATTTCTGCATCGTAGCACTCAGCATACAGCTCGCGAGGAAGTGACCACGAAGTTCATGAGCGAGAATCCAGACTCCGCGACATCATATACGGAGTATTTATTAGCATCGTTATCTATGTCTGCTCCTGTCTGCTCCCGCAAACGCGTCCATGCGCATAATGATGGCATGTACGACTGGTGAGAAACAGGCGACGAATGTCTGAAGTGATGAGAAGCTATCTATTTTCGAAGGGATGCTACCCACGGGGGATGCAGTACCGCAATTCCTAGAAGACGGTATACGACACCTGTGTGTGATGCGGGGCGCCGTTTACCCAGTCGCGAAGACGAAGATGAGACGGTCTTGGGCACATGATGGGATAGAGATAGCAGAATTGTGGACTGGAAACAGAAGAACCGCACAGGCTTGGAGTTGGTCGAGCAGCGACTCGCAGCGTTGAGTTGATACACGAGTCTTTCACCTGCGATGTTGAATCCTGAAAACAACAACGATGGGGAATTTGGTGTATTGACCCAAGAAAAAGTTGTGGTGTATATCTTCAGCGATTCAGCACCAGTGTCCCTCTCGATGGGGTGGTAATGCCAAAAGATCGACGTTGTGGTAGGGGACAGTGTGGCGGTACCGGTGTGGCGCATCAGGGCGGATCGGAAGATTCCAGCATTTCAAAATGGCGTAGCCCTCTCCAGCCAACTCGAACAGAGTCCCCACGACCTACTTCTCTTGACCGAGCGATTCTTGTCTTCCAGCTTTCAGAACATATCTAGTCTTATTTGCGTTGAGTACTCACTCAACCATGACAAAACACAGCAAGAATAACACTGCGTCATCTATATTCTCGTATGCCGAGTACAAGAAGCTCGACTATGGCACGAAACGCGTACGTCGTCAAGAATCTATATCTAATGACCGAAGTTGATATGTAGTGACCCCGACAGCAACGTCTAGGAAATGAATCTATGCGTCGCTTTGATGCATGCGCTCTCTGTTTGAACCGCGCTCGTGATCCAGTCGCATGTCAAGACGGTCACTTATTCTGCAAGGAATGCATATATACGGACCTTCGTACGCCTCCTTGCCCCATCGCTCTTCTTTATGAAACTGAAACCTGCCCTGTACTCTGTATTTTTTCTTCACATGAACCTCAACGAGACCAGTCAGCCAGAAGAAAGACATCAAGCGCCAGAAGGACCGCCTCGAAGCTTTGAAGAAGGAGGCGGAGGCGGAGAAGGCTAGAGCAAAGGAGGCAGCCAGGGAACGTGTGCTGGCAGACTTTGAAAGAGGGCAGCTAGGTCTCGGAGCCAACGTCAGTGGAAGTGTCATCAGCACGTCGTCTTCAGAAGGTGCGTCCATCTCTTCGTCTTGAGGCGCCTTCGTCATACGATAGTTTGGGCGCGAGGTTGGAGAGCCGTCGTTCCCAGTATGAACGCGGCTTTCTCTCGGTCCTATACTTTTTGGCAGTGATGGTTGAACCGTGTGGAAGGTCTACCTAGTCATGGCGGATTACCTACGCCACAGTGGCGCCTCCCAGGCTGGGTGTTGACACATGCCGTTTCTCCTTCGACTTCCGTTTGTTCAATTTGTGGGCTGAAAGCTAATATATATGTTCTAGCCCGTGGCACAAAGCGCAAATTCTCCTTCGACACTTCGCTAGCAGAGCAGAAAGCCCTCGAAGCGGAAGAAGACGCCCTTCGTCAGATAGAACGCGAGCAGGCCCTGGCACTCAAGTCTAAACTGCCCGACTTCTGGCTTCCGTCGTTAACGCCAACATATTCCTCGAGTGGCCCTCCTATAAGCCTGGATGATGTGAAGGTAGTGACGACTTGCAGGGGTGGAGTGCAGTCACATCCACTTGCGTAAGAACATCGTCCCATTCTCTCGTAAGAATATCAACTGATGTCGTCGATGCTCTTTGCGATCGTAGGTTGAAGAACCTGGTACCAGTATCTTTCGCAAAACCCAATACAACTTCTGTCGTACCGTCGACACCGGCAAGCGAAGACTCCACGCCCACAAAATCCCTGAAAGAGCGAGAAGAGGAAGAGAACCCAATCTGTCCGTCATGCAAGAAGCAGCTGTCAAATAGCGTTCGGATATTCCGTACGTTCTCTTCACTTCCCCACAGCTCGAGCTGTTGACATGACCTCAAAGAGACTGACCTTGGAGAATAGTGTCGAAGCCGTGTGGACATGTGACATGCAAGACTTGTTTCGATACCCTGGTCAAGCCTGCGAAGCAGTGCGTCGTGTGCGATAAGGAGCTGAAGGTCGAGAAAGAGATAGTGGAACTGAAGAGGGAAGGTACGTCTCGTTCACTTTGTCATACATCTGTTGCGGCTTGAACCACTCATTCATCTTCGGTATACAGGAACGGGTTTTGCTGGCGGAGGTCTGGCAGAGACGTCCAAGTCCGGGATCGCCTTTCAAGGTTGAGGGCGTACGGTTCTTTGAACTTGTTCTTATCATGCAGCAGTCATTGTATGACACGGTGCTGTTGATCCATTTGTATGGACGATATCTTGCTATGCACCATTGCACGCCGCAAATATGTGCCAGAGTCTGCCACAGTCAACTCGCAAGATCCACGACATGGTCTAATCAAGATAAATATCACGATACACAGGGACTTCTGACCGAGGACAAACCACAAGCCACCAGCATACCTCAGCACTTCCTAGTGAGTATCCTCTCCTTTTTGTACTATCATTCTGCAGCGTACAGCAAATCTGCAGCATGTCAAAAATATTCTCTTGTTGGGAGATCCCAATAGGCGGGGTGATGCTGTCGGTGTAGGTTTTCATGCCCTCACCGTGAGGTCAGGGAAGCTCGTGGCAGCTGTTTACCCCTAGGATTATCCTCATATCGCGTTCAATGGACCCCATGGCTGAAGCTTGGGGCCCAACCTGGGAATGCATAGTGGATGATGGTGTAGTCGAAGCTTTGTGTGGGTCCATCCTGCTTCTCTAACAGATCGGGCCAGCAACAAGGTTGCTGAACGCCGAACGTAGGCCATTACGATCAGGTTTACTTCTTTCGACGTATTTGCGCATGCTGCCGCGGCTTGAACCAGATATGACCGGTACAAATCCGTAAATGGCAGTAGATGGCAGGCCTGTAGTATGTTTAACGAACAGGGCAGTCTCCCCGCCCTAATGGTGGCCAGAACAGGGATGTATCACACTAATCATCAACCATATGGCACCTACTGTCGTACTCTCTATAATCCTAGAACCGGTCCTCGTCTCAGACAACGCCGCCTCCACCTCCGGACAAACTCATCCGATCGCATCACACGTCGAGTCATGGAATCCGTGTCAATGATATATCGGACCGCTCAGTATGATTCGTATTTGGATACATCCCTTGTTCGAATGATCTACCGACCGCGTTCCTCTTCTCTGTTCTGGCGAACATCAAACAGGTCGAAAGGGTCTTCGTCCTACTCAACATGGAGGCTCCCTATCCCATCTTCGATCAGGGGGTTGGAATAGGATGTCATTCTGGGAGTTGAAGATCAAGCAGGCTCGTTTATCCAGTGTCCTCGAGGTGATCCCATACCCTCTCTCTGTGGTAAAGGAATATATGTATACCTTTTCTTACTTTTCATAGCTCGAAGGCCCGTGGTGAATCCGCTTATATATGTACCATAGACCATATCGGCTCAGGTTCGTCGATTTATCTCCAAGCAACTCTCTATCATAATGATCTTTCGTCCAGTGCTCCCTCGCCCTCGCGTGATTCACGAACGTCTAGAAGGCATACTCGGTGTCTCCGACCAGGCGCTTGAGCGGGTAAAAGGACAGCAGGCATCATAGAGACAGGTAAGTAGCGTCCCTTGTATGACTTGATTGCGATTCAATTGTGGAGATGCGCCATTTTGATCAGAGATGTACGAGGAGAGGGTGCAAGGCAAAGCGCTGCGCTCAGTCTGTAAACTTGTTCAATATCACGGTGCACTGTCAGAAAACGTTTGTGGTCTCTTAATCTCGCTACGATTTGTCTGAATCGTCTCGTAATAGGGATTGGCCCGAACATCGTCTTACCCGTGGGCTGCAATACGAAGCCCTCGACCCAGTCTTCATGGCCTGCTGCACACCGCAAATATTTCCCCTTCGACCTTGATAATGTTGAAGTAACAGAAACGTTACTCCTTAGATGTTGATGTCGAACAAGACACAACGTTACAGTTGAATGCGCAAGAAAGTGTCGATGTAGTTCCCCGGCGATCAGAGCAAGCTCTCTCAGGATATCCGCTCTAATTGCTCTTCCTCGGCACCTTATTCAGCATAATCGCATGCCCTGTAGGTTCGGGGAATAATCTATGCTTGTCGAGACGCACTACCTTCCCCCGGAAGGAGAACGAGCTGGGAATTCCGTGCGTACGCCCGTCTCGCCACCGCCACAGCTCGTCATTTTTTAACGTGATGGACTTGTTAGACGCTCGAAGATCACACAGTTCGCATGCTAAACGCTCTCCATACATGAGCGTCCTGTTTCTCCGAACGTCGAAGATGATACACACGGGCGAGCTCAAAGGAAGGTTTCATTGGTGTTGCATGCTGACTACTACCGCGTCTAGGACGTCTGCATCATTGATGGATTCCAATCTTCCGAGGCTGTTTGCTACATCTGCGGTGCGAGCGATTTTACGCCCCAATGGCACCCATCTCTGCCCCATCAGAAATCTGATCGATGTCAGGACTCTTCGAGGATGCTATAAAGCTTTCGTGGATTAAGTAAAGTGTATGTTTTCTTTCACTACCCATCGCTCAGGCCGTCATCAGCGCTCAGAGTTCTCTAGGGCTGTGCGTCCTACGCTGTACCTCTTAACATAGAGCCGCCTCGACGTCATCCTCATCGACACCAGCTGGCATCCTCGTGGTGCCTGGGACACTTTGTCGTGGGGCTTCGCTGTGGCCCACTGCCGTATGTGGTGCAGTTGTCTTGTGTTCTCCCGGCGCAAAACAGCCTAACACAAGTGCCAGCAGCTGTCGTATCCGTCACCCAACCAGTAGAGAGCCGACATGACCAGGCTAGTGGGTTTTGACGAGTCTCCAGACTCACTCTCCGTGGTGTCTCAGACGTCGCTTGGCGGAGCGACTCTGCCCCTTCGCCCCCGACGCTGCCGCCCTCTTCCTGTTCCCACCCGTCCCCCAGACTCAGTTCCTTCACCATCTCGTCCTGGTGACACCAGCTCAAGACGACGTTCTTTACCAGTTGCTGTACATGCCGAAGCCCAAATGAGGAACAGGTCTTCGTCTGTCGCCACACAGACTCAGGCCCCTGCCGGGCCTTCACGCTCTCGCTCTAGCACAACTTCAAGCCCACGTCCGCTGCCGATGGTTCCCTCGTCCGAACCCTCCCCACCCGCTCTACTACCTTCTTCCACCACACAACATGCACCAATTAGACCTATATCGCTCCCTGTGACGCGATCAGATTTTCAATACTATGTTCCACTGTCCAGCAAGGCCGAGAACCCAGAGCCACATGTTGACCGGAATGTCACTCCTGCCAGACATAGTGTCTTTTACTTCAAGGATGAACTGTCCATCTTCCAGGTTCGCCTTTCTCATGGCTTATTTCTTCAGTCTCAGCATGTCTGAGTCATACATGTTCACATATAGGTAGAAAACACGTTGTATAAAGTACATCGCTACTTCCTACAGAAAGGATCCCCCATGTTCCGCACGATGTTCTCATACGCGCGCAGGATGGGAAACCGTGTCGGCGAGGGAACAAAGGACTCGAAACCCATCATTCTTGACGGAACCACACGGAAGGAGTTCGAGTGTTTATTGAGCTATCTATATGATGGGTTAGCTGCGTTCCCGCCTTTTCTTCCAGTCTTTGTGTCTCAGTCGCTAACTATATGTTACATCAGTGTCCAGGATGACTTCCAAATGCCTCCGGAATCTTGGCTCTCCCTTTTAGCCATCTCCTCTCGGTTCAAATTCTCAAGCATCGAAACCCGCGCCCTTTCCGAGCTCTTCTCTCTATCGCCACCCCTTCCTCCAGTTCTCCGGATCTCCTTGGCTAACAAACACGCAGAGTCACTCCCTACAGAACAGCGCGAAAAATACATCCACAAGGCAGTGAAAGAGCTCGTTCTGCACCCGCAGACCCTCAAACCCGACGAGATCGATAAAATCGGCAGCGAGGTCACGGCCGTCGTGGCTAGAGCGCGAGAAGATTTCGTATGGGAGGTATGTCGCACGATGACCGGCGATGTTACAATTTGGGAAGGGAGCGTCAGGCTTCCGACCGAGCTTAGGAATGGAATGGGGGGAAATGAGGCGCGCGACTGGAGGAAGGCTGTGGACGGGATTGTCGAGCGTGTCTTTTCGGACCTGCGTGCTGAGAGCGCTCAGTGAGATGCCGGAGGTTCCACCATTCCGTGCAACACCACGATGATATCCGAGTGGCCGTTGACACTGATCAGTATTTTTATTCTCCTCACATTCTCCTTATGGTCTTTGCATTGTAGAACTGGTTTTGATCTCATATGTACCAGTGTATGTCTGTACAATTATGTAGGTTAGTGTTTGTATGTAAATTATACGGTTGAGTTCTTTTTTTCCAGTTCCTATATCATGCGATACACGCCATACTCATATGAGAGAATGTTGGGGGCCCGCTCTGTGCGATGATCGCCTCCTGCCGCCCCCTGAGGCCTGCACTGCAAACGAGGTTGTTCGCAGCTTCTAGATGAAACATTTCGCGGCAGCTCATGTATAGACATCAGAAACTCTGGAAGCTCGGATGGTAAGAATGTGCCCGGTGGGGATGCAGGGCATTCTGAAGTTTACTGCAGCGATTGATGTACTGGCGGTGCAAGCCAGGGTGACTCGTATGGGCGGTCTCCATATGAAGAAAGACTATCAAGTTCAGGTGTGTTGGCTGGGGTATTCTACCACTTACTAACCCGTGTTACGATCGTGTTCAGGCCATTGGTGCTGAGATGGGGACGTCTGATTCTGTATAGCTGAAACTTAAGCGGCCAGGTGCGGGAACAAACTAAGGCGGGGAGTTGAGATGCAGTGTGGACCACGCTAGTCAGATCACAAGATATCGAGAACGTTAGCTCACGGATAGATCATAAGCAGTGGTAATGAGGTGAATCGGCCTGGGAGAACTTAGGTGAGCTATCTGGAGAGAGGAAGAAGGAGAAATCATGACCGTTTCATCACGAGTGTATTCAGCGGTAAGAAGTCGAATCAGAGGATGTGATAAACCCCATGGATTCCAACCATCCGTTGGGTATTTCTCAGGGATGGCCGCATCTCATCAGAAGAGCAGTATTTTGGATCTGACCAAGATGCTTGTATTGAGATGCTATGATATCGGTAAGTCAGACACGCGAGGTCATCTTTTAGGTCGGCTCTTCTATGCAGACACAGCCGTGATTAGATACAAAAAGGTATGCCCCGTCTGTATGAGGGTTGTACGATAGTTGTCTAATCTGGGATGAGACACCAGACTGTAAAAATTAAGGGCTAGGTCAAGTCTTGTTACTGGATCAACGAAAACAAGGTTGAGGACGCACCCGAAGTAGGTCGTCTAGACATTGGATGATGAGACTTCGCGCCCTCGTTATCATGGGGAGCCTATTATCCGAGCATGTCTTTCTCCACTCTCTGCGCGTTTTGTGGGCGCGACACGGTCTGTTTTCAACTCCGGCGACGTTTGGGTGCCCGGTTCTGTCTGTGATTCCATCATTGATTTCGCCGCGTCCGGGTCAAGCACATTCGTTTCGGCTTTCGCTTGAATCTCCTGTCTGGCTCCACGCGCCAAGTGATTTACGAGCCATCTCTTTTTACCGACCTTGTCCATGGCATCGATCAATTCGTCCATGCTTTCGACGACCTCAAAGCCTGGCTTCGCGTCTGCGCCTAGTAACAAGGGAGGAGCTGCTGGGTCGAGCAGCATTTTATCAAGAACCTTCCACCGTTTGATGAGTCTGAGAACTGTAGCATCGTATAATGGACTCCGGTTAGCTTCACGTCGGGAGGCTCTTGGAGGACTGAACAAACCGGATATAGCTACGTTGTGGAAGGCGTTACATTCTCTGTACCTGCCCTCGAAAATGACAACAGCAGGGGAACCGCCCTGAAAGTAAAGTGCGAACACCGGTCAATATGAGTGCTGTGAGCCAGAATAGAGAGTCGGTTCAGGACAGAACCTCTACGAGCTTACTTTTAAATAGCCTTTGACGCCGGTCTCCCTCCCGAGCGTCCGCATGCGGGTGTAAGGTTTCTTCCCTAAGACTAGAAAATGGCTGGTAAGAGATACTTCAAGTTTGATATGTATACTGGCGCATCAAATGCAGTCATCTACAATTATGATAAAATAGAATTTCTGATTGAAACGTAGCAAAAGAGATCGCACATACCTCCATCAATGCGAACGAGCCATACACTTCGTAAACGGGCTTTGGCTTTGTTAGTTAGGTATCTCCTTCCGAGCAGCAACGGCTGGGGGTCTGTAAAGCAAGATGGTCTCAGAGAAAACAGCATAACACCGAACCGACGAAGTCAGACAGCTTTGTTGGGTGGCGACACGGGAGTAAGAACGTGTCAAGTTCGATTCCATCCTGAGCGGGCCACCCTCCGTTGCGATCCACGTGTCGGACGCGTGTTTTGCCGATCTTCTCCGCCCAACTCCCGCGAGTGCGCCATTTGCCTTGCTTGAACCGCACGCTCATCCATGCCGTCCTCAAAGCCCCTAGAACTTAGAGAACTTCATGCTTCTGCAGGCTCGCGCGTTCCTTGCTTTGTTCTTGTCCTTCTCTGACCTATTGGCTATAAAATGAACTTGACTGGTCCTGACTCGCAGCCTCCGTTTCGTGCCGTCGCGTTCTTAGTCCTCGTCCTCAGCGTTCCGAGCTGTGAACTCCCCCGGTCTTACTCAGTAACTGCTAGTCCGAACTAAAATAGATACACTGGTGCTATATTATACCCACTATACCTTCTCAGCTTCTCTGTATTCTTTGTCTGTGAACATTTGGCTCGTTGCCCGAAGCTCACACTGTGAATCCGAGGAGTACCAGTATGTATTCCGAGTGTTATTTTGTTTCGAGTATCTGACCTATCATTGATGTCCCTCACCGTTCAGAATAAATTCACCCCATTACCATCAACACTCTTGAATCCGCGCCTCTATCATGCACCTCTTCACCCTCTCATCCGCCGTCGCCACCATGCTCCTTCTTTCGACACACGCCCTCGCAGAGCCCACGCCACTTTTGCGTTCTGATGCGGCACTCGTACCCGAAGTATCGGCATCAGTTGCATCCTCTCCGCCATCTCCTCGCACGATGGACCGAAGAGATTGGATTGCAACCTTTTTTTCACGGCACCAATCTGAGCCACTCTCACCGGCATCATCTACACCTACAAGCCAGCGTCGCAGATCACGCCGCCGTTACCGCTCGCACCCGTAGACGGACTCTAGAGAAAGGAAAGATTGTATAGATGCTAGTGTTCATGTTATGGAAGATGCGCAGTCATGGATGTGTTTGTATGTCTACAATAGAGAAGAAGAAATGAATGTTCAAATAAACTATTGTATCATCAGCTCCTACTTATTCTATGTTCACAAACCTCATCGTTTTCCGAGTCTCTCCTTGACCTCACCCGCTTTATTTGCGATTCCCTAGTGTATCATCTCCGAGTATCTATGTTCCGGCTTTTAAAATAACGGTTCTTTTCTGTGTATTCCTGGAACTGGTTTCTTATAGCAGAGCCTCATTATTTCGACTGCGCAACCCAGGAGCTTTACGCCACTCGTGCCTATGTATACAACACTTCCAGATATTTTTGATCCAATAGACCTTATATGTTTCAAGTTTACTTGGAACTCGTTGGCGGAAGATCTGTCCGATCCGCCAATGAGCTTTCGCAAAAAGTTTCAAGTTTTAACTAACATATAAGCCCTAATAGAACGCATTTTAGATAAGGCGTAACCTTCTGGCAACTCCTTCATCTTATTCCTATTTTTTTGAACGTTCCAAATTGAGGGCACAAGAGATTAGGGCATATACGTAGCGGTTCACATCGCGTTTTGGCAATGTGAATTGAACCCATGACGGGTTCAACACTTCGCAATTTTGACCCGTTGGAGCGTTGAAGCTGAATTCACACTCCGTGTGAATTCGACGCGAAAGTAGCCTCCTCCCATCTCTCCCCGTTCGCTGACATGGCTCAAAACAGCAGACACACTTCGATAGGGGGGCCATGTACAGTAGCACCCGGAAGAACCGCGGTATCAGAGGTCATCAGCAAGGGGAACGAGGATGGGAGCAGTCGTAGACCTCGTCTCGAGAAATCAAACTCAGTGCGAACTGGATATTATATCTAGCTCCACATCCGAGCTTTCGAGTTCACATTTTTTGCTCTCAGAATGATAAACAAAACTGATGTGAATCGCTACATATATGCCCTATTGCCAGGTCGCGATCGAGGTGCCACAAATTTGGTAGTGTGGCGACGTGTTCAAGAGGTTCGGGCGTCTACTCGTTGTTCAGATTCTGTTCACAACTCTGGCTCCATATAGTCCAGTCTCACGTTTGCCAGTACACCTGTACGATCACAGACGACTGCGTCTCAATGAATGAGCCTAGATGAAGGCCGCAAATCCGCAGCAGCTCTACATTTGCCTGTCTCGTATGCATCGTACGTCTCCATATCTCTTCACTTTACACTGAACTCGGGAGGATTGACCGATCATCCAACATGTAATTCCAGACATCGTCAATCCAAAGAAGTTCCGTCGTCTAAGACGAGAAGCTGAAGCTAACGACGTGTTCGGTCTTGTAAAGGTGGTTACTTTCCATCCCGCACGTTTCGTGCGACGTGCTGGACTCATGTGCAGACAGGATATCCCGGTGTTGTTATCGTAGAAGGGTCACAACGCGGCGTGGAGGGATTTCTCAGAGGCGCAAGAGGTGCGTCTGTAGACTCATGCTCACTGTATCGCCAGTTACTGACGTCGTTCGTTGGCCATGACAGGCCTTCGTTACTTAGAATTCCACCACCTCTCAACAGAACCTGCATTCCCTCGCGTAACATCTCGACCCTCCCTGGCCGACTCCTCTGGAACAGATATGACATCTACACCCAGGATTATGGCTGATCTAATTCCAGGGGCTAGGTCCGGGCTTCACGAAGTGGCAAGTATGAAGGAGATGGTGGAGTCAATGGATACTATCGGGAGGAAAGCCTGGTTCAGGGAGGCTATGGGCATGAGTGGGAGTTGAACGCGTAGCATGGCGTTTCACCTTGCCCCATGATCCATGACTTCCTTCGCATGCGTACTTTGCTTGACTATAGGTAGGTTTGACTAGGAGGTGAACTCAATATCGTGTTCCCTGTTTACCTTGTCATCTTTACTTTACTAAAGGTGTTATGATACAGGCTCAGCCCGGTATTCACGTTCGTCCGGAAATATATCTCATCAAGCGGCCTGTACTTATGGCGGTCACCTTCGGGAGCACAGACCACGAGCGTCTCGCCACAGCACTTTCGAAGGTCAGCCGCTCGCCTTGACGTCAGTCGTCTGCCTTCTTGGAATGTTCGTTTGCTCGGCTTATGTTCTTTTACCGTGTTTGTATTCGTTCTCTCACCTTTGCAATATATGACTGGGATGCGCACGCCTCAAAGCAATATCAATGACTCACCCCAGAAGCCTTCAAGGCCATTGTGACTTGCCGCTCGACCTCCAGACCCTTTCGACGGTCCGCGCACACCGCGTTGTTGTAGTTCATGGTACATAAGGCGCGATGAATGAACAGCGTGCTCGACACCGACAGTCGAGATATCAATCAGCGGAAACGCCCCTATTTGTATGCCACAATGCGTACGCTCCTCAAGATGTTACCACTATCACTGCTTGTCTCGACTCTAGCAGTCGCGCAGAATTCGTCCTATTTTCAACCAAACTCAACGGGGGTCAAGCTGCAGAATGGGTTTGAGCGTGTCTTTGTGCAGGTCTGTCCCTGTTTCATCTCCTTTTCTCCATGCGTTTTGCTCACACAGTCCCCGGTGGATGTTATTCTGGTGCTCATTGTAGCCTTTTGGAAACCACGCTTTCCGCGTTCGCGCGAGCCTCATGCATGATCCTTCGGGCACAGAGCCCTCAGCCTTGTTAGACCCGCCTCTCGAAGGTCCCGGTGGTCAAGCAGGTCTCGATATCTCGAGTACCATCCCGTATGCCGGCAACGCCACCATCCGCAATGGCGATCTTGTCGCCGAATTCAACCTCGGGGTCCTGTCATTCTACCGCGTAGAGCCGAATGGAACCCGAACCTTACTCACGGCAGAGTACACGGACGATAAGGCGCTTCCGGCGAGGTATTATGTTCAGGAGTTCAGGAGCAGTAGTTTCGAGGCCCAGTTTAGCTTCTTGTCGGATACCGGAGAGGGAATTTACGGTGCGGGCCAACAAGCTTGTTGTAGGGATGAGAGCGTGAATAAGAAGGGAAGTACGGTGGACCTGTTGAACTTCAATTCTCAGGTGCCAATTCCAATGTTCATGTCGGACAAGGTCGGTGTTGACTTGTTTATACTGTTCCGTGAGAGATATTGAAGTGGCGTCAAAATAGGGGTATCTTATGTTCTTCAACTTTCCTGGTCAAGGACGAATGGGTAAGTATCGCCTACAGGCTCCAAACATACACTTTTTAATTGCCTTTTATTCTAGAATTTGGTCATTACAAAACCCGCTTCGTCGCTGAAGAAGCAACCGTCATCGACTACTACATGTGAGCTACGCCACACCCGAGTTGTGATTGTGGCGCCACGCTGATCTCGCCACAGCACTACGGCCTCGCCAGGAGACTATGATACTTTGCAAGAACAGTATACAGCTGTGACAGGAAGACAACCTACACCTCCTGACTTTATCCTCGGCTTCCAGCAGTCGAAGTTGAGGTACTACAACCAGAGCCAGGTGATAGATGTGGCGCAACGCTTTCATGACGAGCAAATCAACCTCAGTATGATTGTCGTCGGTACGTCACTCCGTCTCTCGAATGCTGCGTGAATAAATGAGGGCCAATATGCTTTATGTAAATGTCTATCCCTCAGATTTCTTCGCTTGGAAATTCCAAGGCGATTGGTGCGTTAATCGCCTGTATAAGGGCCGTGATAGCCTTCGTTGATCGTCAATCCCTAACGTCACACTAGGTCGTTCGATCCATCACTCTTCCCTGACCCTGCAGGCATGGCAGCTCAAGTCAAGAATCTCACCGGAGCGGAGATGATGGTCTCCCTTTGGCCTTCCGTGGAGAACCTCTCGCGGAACTATCTGGCCTTGCAGAAGAATGGATGGCTAGTGACAACAAGAGATGGGACGGGAGTAACGGATCAGTTCGCAGGCGTGTACACCAGGCTTGTAGATTCTACAAATCCCGGGGCAAGAGAGTTCCTGTGTACGCATTCTATCTCGAAGCATCAATAAGACTCTGAATAACGTTTTTATGGTTGCAGGGAAAACATTGAACGACAGCTATTTCTCGAAGGGAATCCATAACTTTTGGATCGACCAAGCGGATGGAGGCACCCTTGGAGAACCTTTCGAAAATAGTACGTATATTGTCTCCATGGTCTCCTACCACTTGCTGACTGCTGATGCACCAACCAGACGGTGACCTCATTACCCAGATCCCTTACGCGCGTTCTTTTGCCCAGTACTTCGTCGGCACACAGACATCTGCTGGCAAGCTCTATCCATGGCTTCACCAAGCCGCCATAAACGAAGGGCTTCACAACCTCACTGAACAACCTCTTACATCCTCTTCCTGTGAATACATGTCACTCACGCGGAGCACGTTCGCTGGTGGCCAAAGGTATTGCAGTTATCTGTGGAGTGGAGATACGGAGAGTAAGTTCGAAGTGCTCTTGCAGCAAATTACGGCAGGGGTTAGTGTCAGCGCCAGTGGGATTTCGAGTTGGACGTTGGATATCGGCGGATTTGAGGGTTTGAATGTGGATTCTGAGGAGGGGAGGGAGTTGTTCGTGAGGTGGTTGGCGATGGGGACCTTTTTGCCTTACGTGAGTCCTCAAGTGGCCAATCTTGTGGCCATCTATCGCTCTATGATCAGAATGCTGACAAGGGAACCTGCAGATGCGTGTACATGGGTGAGGCGGTTTTGTTCCGAACTCACTGTACAGATTTTCTAACGTCTTGGTAGCGATCGGTCTTGCAACATTCCTGCCAATGCATCGATCTTCAATGGCAACAACTGTCCCAACGAGGTGAGCCTGACGGTCTCTCTATCTAAGAACTGAGAGTGACGCTTGTCGTGCAGCCTTGGTCATACGGAGAGGATAACTTCCCTATTATCAAGATGGTAAGCCTTGTATCAGCATAAAGTCGCGCAACCCTCACGGTCGGAAGTTTGTTTTAGTACATAGCCCTGCGCTATCAATTGGTCCCCTACGTCAAGGCCCTGTTCCAAAAGCTGTACGACACGGGGCGGACCATCATGCGCCCCTTGTACTACGACTTTTCTCTGAGCGACGAGTTCGTCGTCAACGCGACCAAAGCAAATGACCCCTTGGTCACGCATCAATTCATGCTTGGTCAGATCATCCTCGGCATGTCTTGCCGCGTCATTGTCTGATAGAAGTTGCTTCTCCTTTGTTCGCCTGAATAGGACCTCGAATTCTCGTGTCGCCCGTTGGCGTCCAGGGCGCCACGTCCAAGATTGTATATCTGCCTCGCCTCAACGATGAGCAGATGGCCCAGAACTTCAGTTGGACACACTGGTACGTCACAATGTTTGGGTCATCTTTTGATTGACTTTTGGGGTCAAGACCACTGACGCTCAGAGATGTAGGTGGAGTGGAAAGGACTTCGGTCAAGGAGGTATAAGCGTGGATATCAGTGCGCCGCTGGACCAGATCCCCGTATTTTTCCTCGGAAGCAAGGACGATATCATGTCGGGCGATATCTGATAGCCCAGTGTTTCTTTACACACGTCACTCAGCCGTTGTTTATCATGTATACGAATGTTGACAGACGTGGAGTGCGTCGAAATGCATTGTCACCCAAATGGGACCTCCGCCGCTTCGAGTTTTTCCGAGTCCCGTGGCGGGAACAGTCGGGATAGATCGCACAGTATGAGAAGAACATCGTGACGGAACGATCTTTCTCCAAGTCAACACTGGAATATCTAGTTGCCATCCGCAATAAAGTCGATTCTATTTTCGTCATGAGATATCGATCTTTGCTGACGTGTCAGGCTCGAAACGGCGAAGGCTTTATGTGCCCTTACCGTAATTGGCGCCGGGCGGGAACTTGTAAGTCGATCACCGTCTTCTTACGCTCACGTGACAGACATGTTTTTCGTTGATATATAAGAACGGACACCTTGGCCAGTCAGGGTTTCACCACCACCCCCTCACCCCACTTGACAGCACTTCGGCCCGACGTCTCTTTTCTCCCCCTCTCCCGGCGAGATACTTTAGGGACTGCGACTACTTTCCACTCGTTAGGATTTACTGTTCCCCAGGCGTTGCGTTTGTCCCCCTTTATCACCAATCTCATCTTTGTCGACGATGGCGCTATCCCGGTCATTTCCTCCTTCCTACTACTCACTCCCTATGTCCAGCGTATGGGGGGACCAAGAGGAAATCGACCTCTCAGCTCCCGCCCTCCCGCATGGTCAAAGTTTCGAAGCCGATGGGGAGATCCTTTTCTGCGTCTTCCGCGACTCGATTGACGCGGCTATTCCAGGCATTCTTCCACTCAACACGGTCGTGGAGCAGGCATGGACCCGACACCCGAATTTCCTTCCCGTTATGATTCCGACCTCTGACAAACAGAACAAACGCGTTCTCATCCCCCGGCTCGAATTCGTAGACTACGTGGCTCCTGACACTGGCAGACGAGACGCAATATCTCCCAGCTATGGCCCCGATATCGATTCAGAGTCAGACCCTTATCTTCGTCGCAAACATCCCCCATATGAATGGTTCATGTACACAACTACTGCCCATGAAATTGTTGAAGCCATGCTTCCCCTCGACGAGGAGCATAGTGGCCCGCGACGGCTTCGATACCTGGCGCAGCAACTGATCACCTTTGGCTTTCGATCCACTCAACATGCCAAGGCGGCGCCGTTGTTAGGTCGGGCAGTAGCATATACTTTGCAAAGTTGGTGCAGCATTCGCAGGCTCGATGAAGACGAGGTGTGGACGGAAATGTCGAAGTTATTCGAGGATGCGATTGGTGAGTACACCTTCTCGATATTCTCCGACTTCTGGAGGACTGTGAGTACCGATATTGTTCCTATCACCATGTCTATATGTGGCTGAGCATATTCATTGTGTAGGGTGGTGCTTGCCGTATGGCACTGAGCTGTTGCAAGACCTATTTCGAGCTCATGCGTCGGGGCCAGCGTCTTGCGCAGCTACTCGGCTCCCTCTTTGCGTACGACTTACTGGACCCTATGACTATCTGTTCTGCGATCGATATCTTGATCTCTCCCGCAAACTCTTCGATCTATACTCTCAATGCTCTCGCTGGCTTGGTCTCTGGGATCGTGGACACTCCGCGCCCGTTCTGTTTCGCTCAGGAGCTAGTAGCCAGACGTGATCAGATAGTTCGAACGGACGAGGACGGACGGTATGCCATGTGGTGTCCAGGCTCTGTTCGCAAGTTTGACGCGGACCAACACATCGTGGTGAGTTATGCATTACCCATCAGTCGATGTATGTCAAGGTGCTGACGTATGTACGAATCATAGTGGGTCAGACATTGGTTAGACCGATGGCTGGAGGTCCAGCAGCGTCAACTTCAACAGGACCGAGATCACCCAATCCATACGCTCAGGTCATCATACGGAGAGTATGATCCAGATGTCGTCGACCTGTCCTCTCCACTACCTTCACCTCATCGCGGCCTCGACCCACAGGCGCCCGCGTTCACGCCTCGCCTCAACTTCGCCGCTGCGGCAGCTGCCACGTCGCCTGTCGTATTGTACAACACAGAGAACAATTCCCCCTCGTCGATCGCTACCCGAACAGAGTCTTCCATTCACATGGTACGGCGATCTGCTCGTTACGAAGATGCGGTCTCTCCTTTGTCATTGTCCTCTCCACCACGCGGCGCGACCCCCACGCGGAGACCCCCTTGGCTCACCGACTCAGACGACGAGGCCTCGGGTTCGTCTGACTATGCGGACTCTCCTCACAGCGGGTCTATCTATTCCGACGATGACGACTCCATTGGCAGCTACACACCGAGTCTCGCCGCTCAGATGTCCGAGGAGGACGAAGATCGAGTAAGTCCAGCCCCATCTGCCGTCGTCAGCGAGGATTCCGTGGAAGAGGTATTCCATTTGCCTGCTAGCCCCACGCCTGCACAAGGATCGCTGGCGAGGGCAAGGGAGAGGTTGGCAGAAGAGCGGCGCCGTTTTGGACAGGCAGTGTTCGAGGCTCAGGTTGGGCACGGTTCGGGAGATTCTGGATATGCTGACTCCGCCGATGTGTCAATAGAGGGTGATTTCTTAGGGCAACCTACCGGGATGAACGAACAAGAGGGCGATTTACCGGCCGTTGAGTAGTTTTGTCAGTGATCATGAGGAGGGGATCTCCGCGTGGGGGTTGCGCCGGGCTGGTATGGTCTCGATGCGCTGGCGCATCATTCCCTCGTTTTTCTTTGTTTTTCTAGCTCTCACTATCACTCGTGCTCTCGTTTGCTGTCTCGTTCTCTCCCTTAGACTCTCTCACGCACACTCCCTCGTATTTATTTGCAACTCAATTCCATCTCACATTGTAGCCTTAGACCGCCAACGATCAGTTGTGCAACCACTCTCCTTTACGACTCTGTTCCTCTTCATCACGTTCACGTCTGACGATTATTTATGTATCTTAGGCTCATTGTCTTGATCATCGCTGTACGCAGTGTACATACATGCGTGTATATAATTGGATACCCCGCGTTGCAGAATACTTTTGTGTGATTATGTGCCATGGACAACCCGTCAAAACAAATTGCAACTTCTCATCGTCAACAGAAGGGAGGAGCCCGAATGCAGAGCATCGCAACGGAACGACTATGTGTATGAAGCTCACGGAACGCTGCGAAGGCTCGCGGCGACTATCTGGATACTTCGCCAGGATAGTTCGTGAAAAAGTCATGCATGCATTCCGGGGGACAAGAAACGTGATAAGGGGAAGATAATCCAAGACATGGAGGCGAATTTTCGACAGATATGCAAGTACATAAATATACAACAACATTATGGACACCGAAAGATAGTGGTAAGCAACGACCTGGGACCCATCGTCATCAAGACGATGGCCAGGAAGAATGGCAGAAGGAATGTAAACGAGATGAGAGGCAGAGGGGCAGAGTCCTGATGGCGATGGCCATAGATGTCGACGTGGACGGAATCCGAAAATGGCAGTGCAGGAGAAACATTGTGGGAGCAGAAGAGAAGAACTATCGAGCGCGCTCGGTAAACTGCAGGACAACGAAGATGTACTAGATCGACTGCGTAGCAGAAAGAGAGCTAAGTATTATACAGATGGATCCGAGAAGAAAACAGCAACTCGCGAGCAGGGAAACATCATACGAAAAAAGCAAGAAACGAAGAGTCTCCAACCATGGAACGCACGATCCATCCAGGAGTCTGGAACACAGCGAGTGGCGACCACAACACCTACCCTACGCACGCCCACCAACAGCCATGCCGATACCAATCCCCGCACAGACAGCGCCCACGAACACAAACACGAACCTCCCTATCGGGAAACTCACCCTCGCCGTCCTCAGCCTATCCTTCATCGGCTTCCACAACGAGGCGGAGAAGGCTAGCAGGGATGGTAGATAGAGAGGATCGAGAGGCAGAGGAATGGGATGCGGACGAGAGTCGGGGTCCCCGATGGCGTCGTTGGAGGTATGGGTATGCGTGCGCGAGTAGGTCGGTCGAGAGTGTAGTTCTGCGTCAGGGGGAGAGGGAGGCGACGGCAGCTTGCGCGAGCCTGGGTTTGACGGTGACGGTTGGAGGTTGGCAATGTTTTGAGAGCCAGGATAGATAGGCGTAGGCGCGGATGTGTGTAGATGGTGAGTTTGAGAATATGAGCCGTTGCGATGGTGAGAGCTACTGGTGTGTTTGGTGCCACCTGACAATGGAAGCATCGTCGTTCGAGTCGAGAACGACGGTCGAGGAGATGAAGACGACGAAGCACTGGTGATGGTAGACTCGCGCAGTCTGCGTGCCACGTTGTGCGAGAGCGTTGCATCCCACTCTGCTTCCCATTGTGCTTTACTCCACCCACTCCCTCCGTCTTCCTTCTGTTTTCCGAGACTAGTCTCCAGCGGTTCTTCTGTTCTCTTTTCAGATACTTCTGACTGAGGCTGCTCGCCCTTGACGAAACCGACTGCCCTTTCTACTTCTCTCCAGCGAAGGAACCTATCTGCGGCCTCGCCCCTGACCATCGCCAGTGTTTCGGGTGAACGAAAGAGGCCTTGACGAAGAGCGAGGGGAGAAGAGGGACGGAATAGAGAGAGATGGGTACGGGTCCTGGAGTTCGACGGCCCTTGGGGAAGGAGGATTACTGGAACGTGAGGTGAGAGGGTGTCGATGAGGGTGCGGACTGAAGGGGTGAGCGCTGAAGAAAAAAGAAGGCTGTAAGCTGTCTGATTTTGTGCAGTTGAGAATAAGAAGACAAAGGTAGTAAGACAATATTGTCCGACTATACGGAGGACACGGTCGGGTGGGTAATCTTTCACAGCGAGGGCCATACAAGTGGAGGGCCATTCGTCAGAGGCACATCTCCCTTCGTTGATATGAAGGTGTAACATTTCCGTCATGCGGAACCCTGAACTAATAGAGATGGGAAATCCCTGCAATGTGACAATAGAAAAGAGCACTTCTCAAAGTCGTCTGTGAGAAGGGCATCTGTGTGCAGAGAGTGCGACGGAATGCAATTTTAGAACCTGCGTTATGATGCAGGAATCGAGCAATGAAGAATGGAGGTCACATTCCTGACTGCTCAGAGATGTGGTCTCTGGGGAGGCCCATTACAGGTTTCCCGAAACAGCCAGCTAGGTCACAGAGCCAGTGCTGAGGCCACAGTGGCGTCAAGTCGCCATAGCCATACTATATCACGAAAAACGAACATTCGCGAGTATGCGAGAAAACGTACCGGGCGTGAGAAGTATAAGGGAAGTATACAGCGGAGTAGAGGGAGACGAGACTAGACTGGACAGCAGCGCGGACGGGGAGACCTGTGGGTGTATAACCTTCGAGACCTCGTGGAACGGCCGATGCACGGTCGTCAACACGGTCTGGATGACGCCTTCAACCTATACAGCACATCCATCCAGAATCCAATCAGCTACAAACGACGTGTAAGCAGGCAAGGAACTCACGTCAGAGTTGTCTGTGGGGATATGAAACAGCTCGATGTTATTCATGGGTTCGAACTTATCCAGCCCATGTGGGTCTCTGTGATCCACCCAGTCCGTCGAAGCTAACGTCCTCACTAACCCCTCTGGCTGTATCAATTCAGGTGACCCGATATCCACGACATCTTCATTGGTGTCAAGGAGGGCTTCTTTGAGCTCGCCACCCGAACCGCCGAGAATGATTAGACGAACATCGCCTAAGGTCCTCCCGTGAACTGTGGGCTGACGCAGAGCAGAAGGTAAAGTCAAACTGGGTATAACCAGACCCTGAACAGACTCGTCGTGTGGCTGTGGGTGCGGGGGGCTAGCGGCGGCAGAGGAGACGAAGAAAGAGGAGGATAGGGATGGAAAGGAGGATGTGGAGTCTGGGGAGTCTGGTGGCGATGGGAGCGCACTAGAGCGCGGTGATGAAGGCTGAGATGATATCATGCTCGTATCGATTGTGGGATGCAATGGGGGCACGGGGAGCGGCCGCAAAGAAATTGAACTTGGGGAACATGCGTTCGTCTCCGTTGGGGGCACGGGGAGCGCGCGGACGGTCCCAGCGCTGGTACTCAAAGAGCTCTCCATAATTCGTCAAAAATGTTGCGAGCAATTGATATGAATGTGAACGAATGGGGAAGCAGTGGTCCGAGTCGAGAGGAGATGGTGGTGGTGCGGAAGAGAGGGAAATGGGCTGACTGTGGGATTGTGGAGGAGAACAAGCTTGAACAGCAGCAGTTCCCATACTTATCAAGATTCCCACGTGTCGATCACCACCCACGCCCCAAATTTATCTGATAAGATCGACTTGTTCTCGGCAGTCACGTCAAGTCACGTCAAGTCACATTGCTCGAGCGCGAGCGTGACAGTACATATACCTCTTGACCGCGACCATCATCTTAGTTGACCCTTTCCGCTCCTTTCCCTCCAACCACCATGTCAGACCTGGAAGACGAGGCGATATACCAAAATGGCGGCTCTGACCCCGTCCAACATGACGAAGACGCCGAAGAAGAGCAGCAAGGCTCAAGTCCGGTCCAAGAGCGCAAGAAGGGGAAGCAGCGGCACCGGGATGAAGATGATGAGGAGGAAGATGATGAGGAGGAAGACGAAGATGATGATGAGGAGGACGAAGATGAGGAAGAAGAGGATGAGGGTGCTGCTCGTGGCCGGAAACGACAAAAAGTGCGTAGCTGTCATTAACGCCCACCTAAACTCTACTCAGCTCTGTTTAGAAGCAGCGCCGTCACAAGCGTTCTGCTGTCAACCGCTTCCTTGATGTCGAGGCTGAAGTGAACGAAGAGGATGAGGAGGATGAGGAAGATGAAGAATATGGGCGCGGTATGTGCTTCCCCTGACGTGACCGCCGTGTGGCGTCGACGTGGCCACCGACTTCTGCCGCCCATATTCCCTCGTTCCCTATTATCTTGTGACTATTTCGTCAACTTATACCTGTGGTCTTTATCTACAGATGATTTTATTGCTGCTCCTGATGCTGAAGGCGAAGATGATGATATGGCTCGTCGCTCAGCGGCTAACCACCGTCTCAACATCCGCGAGCAGGAGCTGAACGACCAGGACCTAGCTCGCATCGCCGAGGAGGTCAGCCAGCGTCACAAACGCTCCGCCGTGCGCTATACCGGCGATATGAATGAGGTGCCGCAACGGCTGCTCATGCCTTCCGTCAACGACGCGAACTTGTGGCAAGTCCGGTGCAAGGTGCGTTTCGTCGTACTCTCCGCGCTGGACCTTCGCTCATTCCCCGCTCTCTCAGCCTGGCAGAGAGCGCGACCTCGTATTCAGTCTCATGCGTAAAGCCATCGACCTCGAGTACACGAACCATCCACTCCAAATCCTCTCCGCCTTCCAGCGCGACTCACTTCCTGGTATGATCTACGTCGAAGCTCGGAGCCAAAAGCAGGTCGTTGAGGCGTGCAACGGCCTCGTCGGTATCTACCCCAGCCGTCAGATCATGCTCGTTCCGATCGAAGAAATGGCGAGTTTATTGCAAATCAAAAAGCAAGACCTGACGGTCACGCCCGGTAGCTGGGTGCGCATCAAGCGCGGGAAGTACGCGGGCGATTTGGCTCAGGTGATGGATATCACGGAGAATGGGGATGAGGTCGGGTTGAAGTTCATTCCGCGTATCGATTTGAACCCGAAGGACGACGTGATGCTGGGTGGGCAGAAGAGGAAGAAAGGTGCGACCACGATGGCGACGGGAGTCAGGCCCGCACAGAGGTTCTTCAACTATGAAGAGGTGGTGAAGGTGTATGGGAGGAAGCAGATCTCGAAGAGGAACCAAGTGTATGTGTTTCAGATGGACACATACAAGGACGGGTTCGTCGAGAAGGACTTCAAGTTGAGTGCGTTGCAGCTGGACGACGTGAATCCGACCCTGGACGAGATCACGAAGTTCGCGAAGGGACAGGATGGAGAGGGCGGAGATCATCAGGTCGATTTGTCCATCATCGCGGAGGCGTCGAGGAAGGCGGCCATTGCGGTTTTGCAGCCCGGAGATCATGTTGAGGTGTTCGAGGGAGAGCAGTCGGGGGTGCACGGTATCGTCGACTCGATTGCGGGAGACGTCGTCACAGTCAGTCCGGTGGGCGTGGAATTGGATGGTCAGAAGATGCAGGTGCCGGCGAGGAGTGTGAGGAAGCGGTTCAAGCCTGGAGACCACGTCAAGGTCATGACGGGGAAGAATGCTGATGAGACGGGTTTGGTGGTTGCGGTGTCCGAGAATATCGTGACTTTCTTGTCGGATATGTCTATGCAGGAGGTTCGTTCTCATTCTCTCCATACTCTCTCCATCCCTTCTGAGTCCCGTCTTGGTTTTCGTAGGTCTCAGTATTCTCAAAAGATCTGCGTGAGGCTGCTGAGGTCGGGTCGGGTACGAACATCGTGGGGAACTACGAATTGCACGATCTGGTACAGCTCGAGTGCGTTCTTCTCAATTTTGACTTGCGTTTTGCGAAGACTTACAATGATACTGCTACAGCATGCAAACCGTTGGTGTCATCTTCAAGACGGAACGTGACTCCTTCCGAGTCCTGGACCAGAACGGTCAAGTACGTCTCGTACAGCCGCATCAGATCTCCATGCGAAGGGACTCGCACAGAGCCATCGCCACAGACTCTGAAGGCCACGAACTGCGGATCAATGACAACGTCAAGGAGATCGACGGAGAGGTACCGACCCTGATTTCGCTCTTTTACTTCTGATCTGTATCTGACGTCCTACCTCTTTATATAGGGTCGAAAAGGTCGTGTCCTCCACACCCATCAATCCTTCTTCGCATTCCTCCACAACCGGGACATCGCCGAGAATGGCGGCGTTTTCGTTACTCGCGCTCGTTCCCTAGCTTCCGTCGCTCCCAAGGGCAACGTCCTAAAACCGGGTACCGATCTCTCGAAAATGAACCCAGCGCTCAACTCTGGTGGAATGGTCGGTTCGGGCAACATCGGGCGAGGTCCTCGAGACAGGTTGATTGGAGTGACGGTCATTGCCATAAAGGGACCATACAAAGGGTATCATGGGACGATCAAAGACACTAATGGACCGATTGCGAGGGTTGAGTTGAACGCGGGTAATAAGGTCATCACTATCGACAAGGACAAGCTACGGAGACGAAAGTGAGTAACCTGTCGGCCATATTTCGTCGGGAACGCATCAGTAGCTGACGTATATCTTAATGTGACCTACGCAGCCCGAATGGTTCAGTCGAAGGGCCTCTGGAAAGCTCTGGCCCCCCTTCCGGATACAATCCTCGAGTCGGCGGCGGCTTCCCCTCCCAAGGCCGGACTCCCAACCCATACGCTCAACCTCCAGTCGGCGGGCGCACGCCAGGCTGGGGCGCCCCACCCTCGTCAACTCGTACACCCAATCCGTACGCTGAACAAGTCGGACGAACGCCAGCGTGGAACTCCTCATCGCGGACACCGAATCCATACGCTACAGGAGACGGTGGAAAGACACCGGCTTGGAACGCGAGTGCGAGGACACCGAATCCGTATGCTGCGGCTAATGATGGGGGCAGGACACCGGCTTGGAATGTCGGTTCAAGAACGCCCAATCCGTATACGAGTGGGGGTGCGCCGAGTGCGCCAGCCTGGGGAGGCTCTCCGGCTCAGCCTAGCTGGGGTAATACTGGTGGACAGACGCCGAACCAGTATGGGCAGGATGGAGGGAGAACGCCGGGACCATCTGCGTCAACGAACGCTTGGGGCACGGATGCCAACGATGCCTGGGTAAGTTTTGTCGATCGAGCCATCGAAATTGTCGAGTATCCTGACCAGGTTGTGTTGTACAGCAAGAGCCCGCACCGACACCTGGTATGGGGGCGCCTACGCCATATAGCGCTCCTACCCCAGCGGCGTATGGTGGGAATGCCTGGGCTCCTACGCCTGGAGCTTGGAACCCCAAAACACCTGCTTCCCACTTCGGTGGTGCAGAGAATGGTATCAGTGCACCTACACCCGCAGCGACCGGTATCTGGCAAGCTTCTCGAAACGAAAAGGGTGAGTACCGTCCATACTCAGCGCGGAGATAAACTGACGAGCCTTTTTTCTTCTTCAGTGGCTGAGAAAGACTGGCTTTCGGACACTGCCTTCAACGAACTTAGGATCAAATTGGTAGTCAAAGTCTCGGGTACACACGACGGCTGGTATGGCGGCGAGTGGGAAGGGCAGGAGGGTATTGTCGTGGCCTATCAGCCGACGGAGCTCCCGGGCAGCAAACCCTTCGCCACAGTCCTACTCAGAGCACATCCTACTGCGCTGGATATTCCACTCGACCATCTGGTCCCAGTGCCTCCCAGGGGCAAGGGCGACTACGTGGTCGGAATCGCAGGGGAGTTCAAGGGCGAGCTTCTGGTGATCGTGGAACGGGAGTCAGCTGATAGTTTGGTCATGGAAAGGCATAGTAATCCGGGGGTATACAATCAGATAAATGAGCGGGATGTCTGTCTGACGGAGCATCGGCCAGAACCTTAGCATGCAGTGTTAGGCTTTGACATCCGTCTTGATTCCTTGGTGCAACGATGCCGTTTCGTTTCCTTTCGTTGTTGTTTCTGTATTTGTATATATACTGCTACCCTTTCAGCTTCACTCCGTGTACAAACGCCGCGTGCCCCCCGCAGACAGATCTTGCGGGTAAAACGTGGGCAAAATGCTGCTAGGAAAACTCTACGCGAGGGGTTCTTACGTCACTGAAAGATGATGCCCAATCAGAACGGTCCGGTAAACTCCGTCTATGGCGGTCGTGTACAAGTTTCCTTGTCCTCCGAGTCGACGTTGACTGGACCAGCAAGTTCACGAATCTGCTCCTGTGACAGGTACGTTCAGACTGGCTTCAAGTACTGCTTGCCTCTTCTGACCAGATCTCTAACGCAGAAAAGGGGTACTCCGCCAGTGACCGGTTCAAGGCTTGATCTGCCAAAAATGACCTCTGTAAGTATTCGTGGCTTCAAGGCGAATGTCACATCCTCGGAAGCGGCGATGATCTTATGCTAATGTCGCTTTCCGAGTAGGAGAACGAGCATGACTTGCTTGCGCGAATGGCCTTCTTACGGAAGGGGAACTTGGTCCCTTCACTCTCCGAAACCCGCCATATCCAGACCTTGGTCGCAGATGGCGAGGTTAAACTGGCCCAATTTGAGCGTGCAAGAGCTCAGCTGGCCGCACAGACAGAGAGGCTACAGGCAGATTTGCACGCTTGGAAGCAAATGCTCAGCCCCATGCGCCGTCTCCCTCTCGAATTACTCTCAGAAATATTTTTCCGTGTTCTCGGATATCACGACGAGGACGATCCGGCTGTGATGGGCAGTCTTTCCCGGATCTGTCAGGTGTGCTCCAGGTGGCGAACACTAGCCTTCAGTATACCTCGATTGTGGACGAACATGTTCTTCTCTGTCCCAGAGACGGGACCTATTACGCATACCCTTTTCGCTATAATTGGGGACTACCTGCCGCGGTCTGCACCACATCATCTTCACTTGCGATTTGACACACCAATTTATGCTACGCACCCACCAGAAAATATCTCTACGCTGCTACGTGCTGTGGTACCCTTCTTAGACCGCCTGCGATCTCTGCAGCTGCATCTTCCTCTGGAGGCTCTGCTCGCCTTCTCGCATTTTCCGGACAAGCCGGACGCCCTCCCTGTTCTGGATGCCTTCTCCTTCTCGCCTCCTGCAAATATATCAGAACCTCACATGACCGGCGTCGACATGGCCCTCGCACCAGTCCTACTCAAAGCCCCCCATTTGCGAGATATAGACTTATCCATCTCCGATGGAAATACCCTTCGCGCCTGGCCTATCCCATGGTCGCAAATCGTGATTCTTGACCTGCACCAATTCTTTGATACACCCGAGTCAGCTCAGGAGGCCCTCTCGCACTGTTCGTCGTTGGAGCAGTGCTCACTCAAACCCATACCTCTCCGCCACACGGGTAACCCCAATTCAACATCCCCGCTACCTATCACCTTGCCCCTACTCAAATCGATGGACATTGAATTCCTCTATGAAATCGACGATACTACTGAAGGCGCAGCGTCGTTTTTTCGTCATCTCAATATGCCCGCTCTCTCCGAACTGCAGTTGTTCATAAACGCCGGGGCCGACGAATTCGAGGTGCCGCTATTCGTGACACACCTGTTCTTACGCTCAGGACCTTCCTTAAAGACCCTCGTTCTCTTTGGCGTTCAGTTCGAGGAGGGAGATATAGAACTACTTCTGCAGTCTCTACCAGTCTTGGTAAACCTCAAGTGTGAATACTGTCTAGTCGGTCACGATCAATTGTTCGACGCATTGCAGTATCACGGACCCGATGGGCTTCCTCCCTTGGTGCCACGGCTGGAAAAACTCGAAGTCCTCGAATATGATGTCCGTATGCCTATTACACCCCACAAGATCGCAGACACGATCGTCTCCCGCTGGTGGTCGGACGAAGATCTTTTGGTGGTGCGACCTCCTGTGGCTCGGTGGAAGAATGTTCAAATTTGGTGGGAAAATGGCGGCACTCTGGAGCTGGACGAGGCGACGTGGGATAGGATCTCCATTTGTTGTGACGAGGGCTTGATCGTCGATTTAGAAGTACAATGAATGTTCTGTTCACGGTGAGTCATAAAACCTTTCCAATCTAGTATACTAAGGCCCCGATCTCGCATTCAATCCTTCAGCATTCGTCTTGCGTACGAAACATTATACTCGGCCATCCTCATGTCTATTCCTGTTTCTGCTTTCGAGTGTATTTTGCACGCGATCGGACGCACTATACCTTCGGAACATGCACGCGGCTATTGTTACTCTCATACGGGCCCTTCCCCGTCACCGTAACACAACCTTGCTCGCTTCAATAATGCTTCATTTGTCTGCTTTGGGGCAGTTACTGAAGATCCACGGCCTCATGGTATCACCTGCACGCTTCTCTCCATGCGAACTTCCCTTGTTAAGATAGGCGGTGAGGTGACGTACGTTTTACGCCGTCCAAGTGAGGAATGAGGCCAAGTGAGGTATAAGCATAGTCACCGCGTATCTGCTAAGCATAAAAGACGACGGCGAGACAGCGACGAGTCTCGGCTTTATCCTCGCCGTTTTTTCGCCTCTTTTGCAGTAAGCCCTTCCTTGCATTGGTCATACCCACTCATGATATATACTAACCGTGTTTCAACTCAGAATGTCTAGCTCTGCTTGTGCGTCGTATATTCATGCGTTACGACGCTTCCGAACTCGACTGAGCTGCGAGGAATACTGAGGTCTTACTGCCCGTCTGATAGCGACGCAAACCCACGTCCACTGGCTCCTCAACCCATCCATCGGCTCGTCCGCCCGCATCGGTCTCCACGTCCAAGTCAATGGTACCCGCGGTGGGTGGTATCAAGGCGAAAGAGAAGGATGTCGCGGTACCGTCTGCGGCATTCAACTCGCCAATCTCTCTACTGCCACCGCCACAGTGAAACTAGCGCCGAACGGGGAGACTCTTTCTATCCCAGTCCAATATCTTTCTCCCGTTCCGCCAAACGAGGCTGGTCAAAACGTGATCGTGCTCGATGATAGTAAACTTGAAGGCAGCGTGGAGTTGAAGGGGGTGGCTGTGAGTGTCGTCGCAGAGGGTGAGGTGGAGGGCAGTTGGATCGTTACACAAGATGGGGCTGAGTTTTACGAGATCGAGGCGGAACATCTGGTGGTCAAGAACGGTTGAACTCTTGAGACTTGTCTGGGAATATATATCGGATTCAGACTCACGGGCACGCCGCTTGTGCTTGTGGACGTGCCCAGAAAGGCGGGCCACAGTGGCATAACCATATGAAGATGTAAACACAACCACAGTACAATTGTATTTGGCTCCTCTGACGAATTTAGACAAACACTTTCCTTTTAGTGCACCTCTTTGGCGAGTTCCGCTGAACGCCCATCTCCTGCTCTATTTCATCGGCCATCGAGTCAACGATCTTCTCCGTTAACTGTGCTTCTGCATCCTTCTTTACATCTTTTCCTGAAGACCGACGTGAGCTTCCCCCGGTGGGTCTAAAGAAAATAGAGAATTTGCTGACCATTCTTTAGACCTCTCTTGCCTTTCGTCGCAGGCTTGATCTGTGCGTCCATCTCTTTGTGGTCGGGCTGAGCCGAACCGAGCAGAGAACCGTCGACAGGGACAACTGGATCCTCGTTTGTTATGTCAAGCTTGGCTGGAGCTATCACACCACCAGACGTCAGGACCGCCAACATAAAGATGATAGATGGAGTAACACTTGCCCTTCTTGGTTGCTCTTGTATTCCGTTTCTTCTTCGGTGAAGACTCTACGCCAGCTTCAGGAATATCAGTATCCGCCTCTGGATCCAACGCTAAGGCAGCTTCAACCTCTGCCTCGTCTATACATATTTACTCGATTAGTCGGCAGTGCATAGATCATATCTGGAGAAAATAGCAAGACTCACCCTTCTTCGAGGCCTTCCTCTTTCTCGGACTACTCCGCGTACCACTTCCACCCTCAACACCCACCCCTCCATCGCCGTCACCCTCATCTAAATCATCATCTTCCTTCACGTCATGGCTGAACCCAGGATCCTCCTTGACAGGTCTCAGGTTCTCCCAGATAACAGGTCGAAGGTCATAACTTCTATGAAGCTGAAACACCGCTTGTTCCTTATCCTTCGCCTCAATCATCAGATCGACGTACTCTTTCTTCCTTTCCGTGTCAGGTGGTGTGGCGGAGGAAGACGGTGATGACGGAGAGTTTTGAGCATAATACCACCCTGCGCCTTCGAGCTCCAGTTCAGATGGGAGAGACGGACATCGACCGGCGTGAGCTCGCCGTTCCATGACGGTTACTGCTCCAGGTCGGGGAGAGGAGAGGTGTTGCTTTGGTCTGATGCCTTTGCGATGCCAGGTTGCGTTTATACGGGGGATGAGAGTGCTCAGGGGTAGCTCTGACGGCTGTTGGGCAAGAAGTCAGCAGTTTATACTGTCAATGTCCAAGAGAGTGGTTAGATGAACATACAAAAATCCAGTTGTGATGATAGTCGAACTACAGGGTGTGTTTAGTAAGACTTGATGAATCGGACATAGAAGAAACGGGTCGAACTCACAACGATTGGGATCTTTAATTCTTCGCATACAGGAAGAAGGTCGTCGGCGTTGTAACATATCTAAACACGCTCGTCTAGTCAACCGACTGGATTCGCAGCAAGAATATTGATCAAACGAACCTCGTCGTTCTCAAGCACGAGTCGCGCCTTGACCTTGTCTGGTACAAGGGTTGTATAATTCTCCTTGAATCGTGCCAGAGCTGCAGGTTTGTCTCCGTACATTCCCTATGACGCAGCGAATACTTTGGGTGAGCAAGACGGCTATGTGCAGAGCCAAATGGAAGAACATACACCCATGTGGATGATGATGACGCTGTCCGGGCCCATACCCATGTAGTCCAGCATGGAAGTATGATCTGTAGCAGTTGTGGCAGTTAGCCCCTCCCTTCAAAATGGATTGAGAAGAAGAAGTCACCCACACTTCAATTCCCGAATGGAGGCCGTGACGACGTTCTCCTTCGGGGACCCTAACTGGGTGAACTACGATTTTATATAACAAGGTGAGACATGGACCGCGAACATGATAGCAGCAATGCGCCTACCTGGCCCGGATGTAGCGTCATCCTGTGGCCCAGCTTGTTCGCAAGGTCTCCTGCAGCCTGGAACGCTCGTTAAAAGTGTTGGTACAGGATAATGAACTCATCTGACCTTGAGCTCTTCGGCGGCATAGTCCAAATCATAACCATAGATACCGTGAGACGCAAAGGGAAACATCTCGGACGAGATGCGCATAAATCGGATACTACGATAGGAAATCATGAGGATCTGTAAAGCGTTTAACAGAGAGGTTACGAACTTGTTATCCTCATTCCACTAGGCGTCGTGCATTTTATTAGGCCTGTAAGTCTTGGGTGGGAGAAGATAGATGTACCTGTATCATCTTGCACAAGTCCTTAGTGTTTTGTATCCCGAGGTTCTTGGCAAAGTCCAGACCATTCTTGTTGATGGTATCGATACGACATGTTCTATGGCGAGCGTTGGATTAGGAGCGGATTAATGTGGCGAGAAGTAGACGATTACAGACCTGCTGCAGAATATGGAATCCGGTTTGCTAACACGAAGAATCGTATTGAGACAAGCCTGAAATACTGTCAGTGAAGATATCAGAAGAAGACACGGAGAACGTACATAACCTAGTCGACCTGTAAGATGATACCGCGTGACGTCAGTCCCTTCGTATTTAGCAGTAGGCTTGGACGAGCGCACCTTTCCATGTCGTATTTAGCTTCTCGATATCCGGAATATTGTACACGACAGGCTCAACAACCTTCGTCCTCCTTCTCTTCTTCTTCGGCGGCTCTGGCGCATCCTCCTCTATTTCCGTCAATGGACTATCCTCTTCGCCATCTTCCCTCACCGGAGCACTGTTCTTTGCGCTTAATCTTGTCGAGACTCTTCTCTCATAAATCTGAGCCGGTATTGATCCAATTCCTTCTAGATCAGTCGAAGTCGGCGCCACAGTTGCGTCCGTCGTCACCTTTCGTGAGCGCTTGGCCATAGAATTAGTTGTGTAGATGGTGTTTCGGGGAAGGCGGACCAGGGTGAGACGACGACAAGACCGTGTAAAATGAGAGAACATGCACAAGAATTTTTCTGCTCATTTTCGCTCATTTCGTGCACCGGTTTCAGACAGGTAACGGATCATGGACAGACTGAATGGAGGAGCGATCCCGCCACTCGATCGCCGCCCATCAGCGGACTTCAGATATTCGCTGCGCGGAGTTTCAAATTTAGGTTTGTGGCGCGCCACACTGCGTCGCTCAGGCTGCCTGCAGCGAAACATTTGGCAAAGAAAAAGCTCGGTACATATGTACATAGCATCCTTGGCAAGTTTTTGTTGTCACGGAATAGATCTCATACCACGATAAAACCCACAGACTCTCACCTAAAATCGTTAGTATAATGCGATAGCATCGACGACGAAATTCGGAGACTGAAGAAAGAAACAGTTAGCGCAGTCTCGTGCTCCATGTAAAAAGAAAGTGAGTTACCAAAAACTCAGCACCAGATGATCCAGAGGCAACCGTGATGGTCATAACGTTCACGGTCGAACCAGTGGTCAGAACGCCACTCGCTATGTGAACATGGCAATGATTAGTACCTAGGCCGCCCATGCAGCCAATACAACGCGAAAAAGACTCACGGATATCAACCTCATACAATTGGTTCTACAAGACCAACATCAGATCAGTGGCGAATTTCTCCTGCATGGAAGAAAGTAGAAGGCTCACATTTCCTCTCCATGTCCCCCTTGTCACACCCCTCGAGTCAGGTTCGTTCGGCGCAGGCGGCACAGGTCCCGAAAATCCATTAATCGTAACCACAGGTCTTCCACCAGCGAATGCGAGTGAAGTGGCGATCCGTAGTGTGCGAGCCCCGCCTTGGCCGGACGCCAATCCGAAACGAACGGTGACGGGACCGATGGCTTGGAAGACTGTCATGGGGAAGAAGCCTGCATGGACGGTTGGAAGGGAAGTATGGATTACGGGTGAGATATGTTAGAGAAAGTGTCCACAAGACGGGGTGGGGCCGGGTGAGGAAAAAAAACGAACCGATGGCCTGTTGACCGACTGTATACGTGATTGGACCCCAGGAGTGCATACGGGAGTCGCTTGGGCTGAAAATTCAGGAGTGATTTAAGCATCAGACCTGCGGATAAAAAATGCAGACTCTTACTGAATCGTCTGGATCATGCTACGTGTGCCAACCGACAAGATCAGTTTGCTACCGCATCGCAATGATAACAAGCTGAACCACTTACTCCGCATTCAAGAACCCAGTAGGAGTCCCATCGAAGTCGCCGACGCTCCAGATCGGAGTCAACGTCTGAAACCATTCAATGAGCCCCCAATCATAGCCATAGATACAGAAAGAGAAGGAAAAACGCACGTCGAGGGCAAAAGTATCGTGTATGTTCGAATTGATAGTAGTCCCCGCAGACACCGTGACGCTCTGAGTACCCACGACCAACTCCCTCTTATACACTGTTCATATCAGCCCCGCCATCATTACCTTTATCCCATGTGTGGAGTACTGTTTGAGGGTACTCACAGCTCATAGTATACGTCCCTGATATCATCGCCGGAGACGAGAAATCCCCAGTACTAGCGTCCGCCGCAGCCCAATACTGAGCTGCAGAGTTCGCCCATCCGACAGTCGTCAGGCCAGAGAATGCGGAGGGAATACCGATGGCTTTTCCGTTGACGAAGCCGCGGCTGGAGGTGGGGACGAAGCCACTGACGCCGAGGGTGCTCCAGAAGGAAGTGTCGAATACACCGGGAGTCGATCCTGTCGTGAACTGTGGAAGAGCATTCGAAGTGAATTCAACAGGGGGTTTGGAAATATAAAGAGGTGAAATGGGCGCATACCCAAAGAGCATAAGGTCCGTGGAAACCTTGACGGTCGGCTGTAGGGGAGTGCAATGAGCTTCTCCATACGCGGATGAGACATTAGTTTGGTCGCATACCTTCTGTCTGAGTGTGCCCCGAGTTCTAAATAACCTTGTAAGCCATCCATGTCTGTCCAGTCTCAAACGAAACAAACGCCTCACCATATCTTTCATGAAAATCAGGGGGAAAGTGAGCATCAAGTCAAAAGTTGGAGCAAGCTAGTACGTACAGAAATAAACCTCCTGTTGGTCGCTCCCTTGATTGTCTATGTCTCTGATGATGCCAAGAGTCCATTTAGTCCTATGTAGTATCGATAAAACATGCCAAATGGACTACCCACCTGAAGAACGGCCCTCCCGACGAAGCTTCATACCCTGTCCCCGGAATGATCATAAACGCACCAATACCCGACCCCGTAGCGCCATGCACCTGATCGTGGATGAACTGAACCGAAGAGTAGACTACACAGCCGAACCCAGACAAATCAGATCAACATCAATGTCTTCGAGGAAGGGAGGATTAAGAAGCGAGAAGGGAGGTAGAGAGATGGGAAGCACGCACACTTGGACCTAGTCTGTCCGTTGACGAGGAAGACGTCGCTGCCTTCAATCGCCGTTCCGCCTTGGATGTCTGATGCGGGGTTACCATTCGGGAGGGATGACTTGAGAAGACGAGCGATGAAGCGGAGCTCGCCCACTGTGGGTTCGGCGGTCGTACTGTGGAAATGCATCGTAAGCAGACGTACAGTTCAAAGAGAGGGTGATTCTTCCGACTCACAGGGTGCCCATATGAATCGCCGGTACGCCATTTTGGGCTACATACTGATAGTTCATACAACGAAACCATCAGAGAGATTTTCGTTGTATAAAACAGGGAAGAATGTACACACGTATTGGGTCAGAGTAGAAGTAACGCAACTGATCTTGATGAAGTTGTTTCCGGTGCCCGTCTGTACGTGGGAGCAACTAGCGCTTCCCAAGCCCGATGACTTCCAACGTATAAAATAGATCGAAGTCAGCATACAAACCGTGAATTCACGCCATAAAGTCTCGATCAAAAGGCAGAGGTAAGACGTACGATCTGGCTGAACTTTGTCGGATCCTGGGCTTGTAAGTTGTTGAAAAGTATGGACGTGATGTCTCCATTTGCAGAGTTCACTGTGAAGGAAAACAAAGTGACTTGAGAGTGAGCGATCGCATACCGCAAAAGCGAAAACTAAGAGAACTGACCAGTGAAGACAAGTCCTCCAGATGTATCAACGACCCAATTATTCCCAGACACCGACAACCCAAACCCAGCCACGAGTGGAGACAACAAAAGCCCAAAGGCAGCGACACACCAAAGAGCCTTAGCTAGCATATTCGTCGACCGTTCCTGGGATACAAAATGCTCAAGGACAATCAGTGTGCCAAGCAAGCTCCATTATATACGAACGCTGGGACACTCTTCGGTCGACTGGGACCTGAGTCGGGCCAGGGCAGGCTCACGATTTTTGACCCAGAGACTAGAGTCCGCAACCGCGTGACAGTCCGATCCATGATGCTAAGCCAGCCCACAAGCGTCGTGCTCTGGCACCTGTACCCGGTCGAAATATGCTGGCTGAACATGGGGCTAGTTGGTGCTATAGCAAACACCGACGATTCACCTATTTCCTTGAGTATGCGGTACCACGAATGGAAATAATGCGCACACAGGCCATTGACCATAGACGACGAGCAACGCTCCCGATGCCCGAATATGACCATTAATTCTAGAAGGAAGACATCGTGGGCGACGAACACGAGGTGAAGGCCAACAGGCACACAATCGAATAAGAGCGTTGTGCGTAGGGTATGCAGTATGCACCTGCACTTCCTCAAGATCTGGCAAGTCAAATGGCTTGTTTCATCCAAATGACCTGCCACGGTGGGAACTTTCAGACGAAACAACAGAAGTCGGGCAGCAGTCGGCCCGCTGATGGAACGACGGTCAAGCGTGATGGCAGAACAATCGCTTTCAGACGGAAAGACTCGCCTTGAAACGCACGAGTGGCGAGGATGCCAAGAGAACGCGACTTCTGCATGGGATATTTTCGGAAGACGACAATGCGGATGTACAAGGGAAATGAGTATATGCCTGGGACAGCATGATGTGTTGATGTGCGGCGGAACTTCATGCTGTTCCCGGGGCGCACACAAACATGGTGCAAGAGAGGATGATAGGATTGCACGAGCGGGACATACGGTGTCTGTGAAAGGAAGGAGCGGCGAACTATATTTGACGGTGAAGAGGAAGATCGTCCCGACGCAGGAACAGATCGCTCTATACGGGGGGGACTTCTCCGAAAATTAGTCGGGTTGGGTGAACCATGCAGTGGAGGAATTAAACAACGATAAATTCTGACAACAGAGGTCGAAGCTGCCGACATTGGTAGCGTATATTCCGGAGGCACATATCGAGGCGGAACATCTGTTAGCGTATACTGAGGTGTGTAAATGCTCGGGGCAGGCGAATAAACCTGTGTCGGGAAAGCCAAGATCGAAGACATCTTCCGAGCTATAGGCGTCAACAAAAGTGCAACGTTGTAAGCTCCGCATCTTCCGCAAATATGTAGTATCGTACACTTACTAGGTCCGTAGTACGACAGAGGCATCAAAAGGAAGACGTCTGTAAGCTTGTGTGTCACGATCAAACACATCGAGACGACATACGGCACACCGTAGCAAGATAAGAACCAGATCTAAGCTGAATAACAACGAAGGAAATCAGAACCGCAACACACCGGATTGCAAAGAGTGGTACGCACCACGAACACACTATTTACGGAATCGTCTCTGTGACCAAACTGACGACCAATCCCTCGTCACGACAAACAGAGATCGTCGCACACTCCCAAATCCATCTCGACAATTTTCCAACGAGTGATAGGAGGACGGACCACCGCAAGATCTTCGTCCGACCACCAGCGGGAGACGATCATGTCTGCGATCTTTCGGGGTGTAATAGGCCTACCGACATCGGCTTCGACGACTCTGAGTGACTCCAGCCGCGGTACCAAAGGGGGAGGCCCATCGGGTCCATGATATTGCAACGCGTCGTATAATTCATCGCATCCGACTAGGCATAAAATACACTTGAGGTCTTCCAGGACAGGTAGGGATTGGAATAACGGCACGATATCCCCGATTTCGAAGTGGACCACAGAGAGGGAGACGGATCTCAAGGTTCGGCCTGAATGAGAGAAGAGGTGCGTTATGAAGAATGACGCCTCGTGTATCTGCCACCCACAATCGATCCCCACCGCGAGGTCGGTGAGAACGGGCATCCTGAGACGTTGAAAGAATGAACCGGCTTCTTCGTTGACAACATGGAACTCAGAATCGAATTCAATGTCCATGGACTTGAGCACGGGTAAGATATGGATAGATGTCGAATTGATATCGTCCATGGTACCGAGATATATGGGTCCGAGCGAGCATCGCTCCAATGAAGAACAATGAGAGAGGGCGTCGTAGACGGATTCGTGTGTTGTGAAGAATTCGTGCAGGTCAAGAGTCACGATTTGTGGCCAAGGCATAGCCCAGGTGGGGAGAATATTTCTCTCGACCCCATTAATCACTTCAATGTGCCGCAACCGAGGAGCTCTGAGCAGGATTGGTGCAAATGACATATCGGGGTTTTGGTGAGTTTCTGTGATACATGCGGGTAGAGAAAAACGGAAGGAATCCAGTGCAGGGAGTGCGTCCGGCCTATCAGGAAAGTCAGAGAAGGCGAGCAGAGCCTCCTCAGGAAGAGTGAGCTGCAAAGATCGCAGACGGTCTAGGAAAGACACTAGGATCCGTAACGATGCAGCGACGTTTCGCGGCGGGTCCTCTACGTCGTCTGACGCGTCATATGAGAGGCGGAACTGATGTGGTGCAGACCTTAGCAGGTGATCCTTAACAATAGTCAAGAAGTCATCCGTGACCGGTTTCGGGAAAATGGTGAAGGAGATACTGGTCCACAAGCGAGGGGTCCCGAAAGCGAGTGCTCGCCATCCGGAGCAGACCTGACAGATCAAGGAGAGACTGTGCATTACGGCTTGATCGTCACTGTCATGATCTTCGAGAACATGGAAGAATATCCTCGACAGCAACTCGAGAGGGAGACGACGCATAGGGCTCAAAATCTGCTTCAAGGCGTGCAGATCTGCCTGTATTTCCTTTGCCTGTTTGGCTAATTGTACGAGTTTGGCCTCGCCCTCTGCACGCAACGTCTGGAAATGGTCGACTTCGGAGGGCAGAGGGGCCGAGTTTCCCTGCAGCAGTGCCGATAAGCCTGGTTCGCCTTCCTCCTCCAAGAGAGAGGACCGGCTGTATTCCTCGATCTTTGGGTCTGGTTTTCGAGGCCAGTCCGGAAGCGGCGTCAGCATAAGATCATCGTTGCTGACATTCGACTCGAAGCTACGAATACTCACAGAGGCCATGATGGGAGTGTCACAAGAAGAGATTCGTGGATTTGGCAAGCCTCGGAACGCGACGCGTCCAACCTCCACAGAAATTCCCACGTGTTTATTCCTCCTACCACCACCGTCACCACCATGTCCTCACCCGCGCCCTCAAGACCGTCCTCGAGCGAAGATATCGTTGCACAAAAAGTGCGTCTTTCATTATTTTTTTGTACTATCACGGAGTCAATTAACAGCGGATTTGTGTGTGCAGTATGACCGCTGCAGTACGTCTCCTTCTCGTCCCGAATTGCCTCTCCATTCAGCCCGAACGCTCACGGACAAGCTATCGTCTTCCTACGGCCACTTATTTACTACCATTCTAAATCGTCTGGCTGAATTATTGGGCTGAATGAATGTGTGGGATGTGGTTGATCTCAACAGTCGCGGACCTGCTCGTAAAGACGTGCGTCCTCTCCTTCCGTATCACACCTGCTCCCCCTAACGTCCAACGTTTCGTTTCAATCCAGAGGGATTGGCTTTGGCGCAGGTGTCGTCGCGTCCGTCATCCTCTTCCGCCGTACGTTATCTTCTCTGTTCATTCTCAACTTCGACTCTCCCTCCTTACCCCTCCCTCATATCCGCACCTCCAACGGCACACTCACCTCAACCTCAACCTCACCTCATCATCTCACTCAACCTTCCCCTCAACCTCTAACCCGTCAACCGTTCCCAATCACATCTCTCAATGCTCAAACTGTGCCATCCCATTCTCTTTTGCACTACCCCGTCTCGCGAACCGACACTCAGGACGAACATGGCCCATCGCGCTCTCCACCGGCTTCGGCGCAGGCGCCGCCTATGCGGACTGTGATCGCTCTTTTAACCCGGCTAGGATCGCGGGCGTGAGGGTCGTTTCGGAGGTTCCGAAGTAGGGGACGTTGATGTTACTATTGGGGGGATGTAGATGAGTGGGGAGGAGGGCGATACGTGGTACAGGGGGTTGATGTAGAGACGTTGCTTGGGACGGGACTGGAATAGACTTGACTTTCATTCTCGAGATGAGTTTCCTGTCTCAATTTCGCTACGCTTCGCAAGCACTTGCACTCGCACTCGCGCAACAACGTACTACTGCAACTCCGTCACGACTCATGATGCGACGGCCGTTGATCCCCGTACTCCTCCTCTATACACAAGACCGACCCCCTCACGTCCTCTCCTCCTCGTTCGTCGAATGATGCTGCACCACCACCGCCCCCTTCGTAATATCCATCCTCTCATCCGGGTTCAACTTCCTCTGCGGCGCACCCAACACCAATCTCTTATACAGCACCACTGTCCATGTCCATGTCCATGTCCATGTCCAAACCGACATGCAAAAAAAACCGTCAGCTACCGCATAAGTCCGGCGAAAAGTGAATATTGAATAGTGGAAAGGAAGGAAAGAGGACTGACGCGCTGTCGCACCCATGATGGGCACCGAGACGATGATCATCCGAAGCCTGCGTCCGTCCGCGTTCAGCGTCGGTGGTTTGCCTGCCATATCGTATTTCTGAACCTGAGTCTCTTTTCTGGTCTTTCTTTCTGTGTCTCGGAAGAAAAGCGCTTTCTTTTCGAATTCGCTGGCTGGGACTCGGAGCCAACGCTCTGTTCAATGTTCGCCTTGAACCTGGGGAGGCAAAAAAGGCGCGAGGTGAGAGGCTCGGAGGATCCCGGGGAGCCCTTGTTGCATGAAGTCACGGTGAATGACGTAATATGAACCTTGTGGCACTCGAAGATGAACGTTGTGCTGTGGCCCAAGTGAAGTTGCTGCTCCTCCTCTGAGTCGTTTCGTCATGTACTGTAACTAGTATATATGCAGCTCCCGTACGCGATACTATCGTTTTCCGAGTGTTTGGCAAGGCAGTAATGTCCGGCACCCTGCCTATCCACATCACACACATTCCCGAGAACAAAAAAATGTACATAAGATATTAATGCAATGAAGGTACAGTACCGCAAGACCTGCAGCAGCATACCGGGCCAAAATCTTATGAATATAAGTATTGGATTGAGACTCGGAAAGGCCCTCAAAAATCGTGTTTTCGGTGAACGGGGTCCAGCATGCTACGAACCTATCGAGATTGCCCAGAGCTACGTACGAGGAGGTTCACTCCGGAGTCCGCAAATCACCTGTATCTTTTTTTCAGGATTTTCTGCCAGTGAGAGGGTGCGAGATGTAGGATCTGGGGACGGCCGTGGGTTATCAGTGTCACAGTGCCAAACTCTACTGCCTCTCGAACGGTCGGATGAGTATCATCCGTAAGGCTACCGCTCTCTATCTTCCCCATTACAATCGAGAGCCTGAGATGCATGCATACGCGACTTTCCCTGGACCGTATGCCAGTGACTCTTCCGCGAAATCGGGAGGCTAGCTGCAGCACATGGCCTCTGAGCTGCAGGAGAACATTCGTGCATAGTGCCGAACACTCGGCAAGTGATAGTATCTTGGTGTAAAATATTCCTTGCGAAGACTGACTTAATCAGGAAGCTTTGTACTGAGCAACCACCTGTAGATCATGGTGTGACACAACGATAGTACGAGTAGTTGGTCTGGACACCCAACGTCACAGTCACTTCTGGTCGATCTTTTCTTGCGTGGGTGGGCAGCATATGCATATGTATTTTAACAGGAGAGAAGGCCAAAAATCGCCGTGCATGTCAAAGGTGGGAGGTAGCACTACAAATGTGCATGCGTTATCTATCCGAGTCTACACATCATTACTGTTCTATGTGTAGAAGTACGAGCTACTACTAATAGGACTACAAATACAGACAAGGAACTACAAATACAGACAGGGAACTACAAATACAGACGAGGAACTACAAATAAGTACAGAAGATTTTTTGCACCCCTTCACGGCTGGAAGAACGGTATACACTTTCCGTCGTTCACAAAGCACACAGCGACAGCGTAGATGTTTAAAATGAACGGAAGGATGGGTTATCGACCACTGACCTCCGAGGAGTCCATCCTTCCGAACCAAGTTCATGCCGACGCAGCGGTTTCTCAGGGCATACTTCGATGCTCTCATGGACATTGTGCAGAACGAGCTCCCGCGGACAATGCGATAATGGATGCGGGTGAGGAACGGTATACCCATCGGGGATGTTCGTCGGCTTGTGACGAAACCTAATGTTGGGACGAGGGTCGCGGTTGAACCTAGATTGTTTGATGTGATGAACGATGCGAAGACGTTTGACTCTAGAGCGATAACGATACACGAGCGCTTCGTGAGTACATACATCCATCCATCCTGTCGACTGACAAACACCCATCCACCGACATCGATGCAGACCTGCAACTCTGCAGGAGATGCAGCTCGGAATCCCCCGTTGACTCATCCCGAGCCCTACAGGAACTTGCCGCAAAACGAAGCACAAACCCAGTTCGCCGCTCGTCCCTGATTGGATAGCCAACAGATCCGGGCAGCAGATCCGAGACGATAAAGGCACGCGGCGGGGCGGGCCTGGCGGCTCGCGCGGGAGATGAATCATGATGTCAGGGGAGAGGAGGGAAGCCTGGGCTGGGTGCCTCGGCCGACGTCATCGACTTCGCTGCAAACCTTAGGGGCTGCAAAAGTGAGCGTCAATCTGATTTGGAGGGCTCTGCAATTGCAACCGGAAGTCCGATGGGAATGGGAGGTCGAGGGCGAGCGAGGCTCGTATGAAAAAAAAGTCAGTAGGAATAAAATGAGGGAAATGGATAGAGAAAAAAAGACAAGGGCGGGATGGGCCAGAGGGGGAGTGATTGTGCCATCGTCGCGGAATGGCCTGCGTTGAGGTTTTGCGAGTCAGCTGTGTGCCGAAAAAGGCGAGGGTGCGTCGAGGACTGTCGACTCACGCCCCGGCGGCAAGTCGACGTTACCGATCCTCCATTCGTGGCACCCTTTCCTTTTTGCCTGACCTGTCTTCCAAGTTCTCTATCCGTCCATCCGCCCAATCCGGTCATCGTCCTTGTCTACATACCACCATCAACCCCCCGATCCGCGCATCCCATCCACGCGCAACATCGGGAAATAATCAGACACACTGCCAGTTTGCACTATGGCCGCCCCTCCATCCTCGTCCGCCACTTCCGATCCGAAGACGGAGGCTGTTGTCCCCGCTCAGGAGCCCAAGAAGGATTCCGCACCCGCCGCAAAGCCATCCGAGGCTGAAGCCAGCAAGGCAAAATCCCCAACACCAGAGCCGCAGCCGACTGAGGCTGGGACGTCAGCGACGACGGCCGACGTCGAAGCTGAGGCTGCTGCAGATGACGAGGATGATTCAGAGGTACGTCCCCTCCTTCATCGATGCTGCTGTCCGATTCTCCGCTCACTGACCGTATACATATCGTTTTGTTTATGAATGTAGGATGCGCCCGAGGTCATCGACATGGAGACATTCATGCAGATCCTTGATCTAGACGAGGACGACACCCATGAGTTCTCCAAGGGTATGGCATGGGCCTATTTCTCCCAAGCCGACACGACGTTTACAGAGATGGACGACGCTGTGTGAGTCCCTCTCCTCTTCCGCTTTTTCTACCCTTCGTCTTTGCTTCTTCCCATTCCTTTGGTTGCCGCTATGCTGTGGCCTTTCGACCCTACCTCGCATCGCGTGACCGTCCTCTGCCCTATAACCATCCGGTCCTCTCGGACGTCGATATACTCGACCACCCATCCACCGGTTACTCGACTCATGCTGGCCCTCTACCCCGCCTAACTTTTTCCTGCTGGACACCATGCGTTTAACTCCACGTCTACCATGACGTGCTCGCTCGGGTGCTCGTGCTTTTATCCACGTACACATGCATCCACCGTGACCTTTTTTGCCGAGGTGATCTCGCATCTGTCATCGCTTCGCCACATCCGCCACATCTATCCATCAGTATTCACCGACCATCGACTATCCTTCATCCGTCATCTACGTCCACGACTCAGTTCTGCCATCCATCCGTCCTTCATCTCGCATCTCGCATCTCGCATCTTGCCCCTGCCATCGGCGAATTGCGCGAACGCCACATCGATGTTACCCACTTCATTTTCCACAAGATATCTGTGATCGAGCGGTGGAGATGGGCGGATAGGTGGATGGACTGTGATCACCTGGTGTTATCCTTCGTTATGCTCACTTCACCTTTTTCTTGACCTTTTAATTTAATTTCATTTCTCCATGATTCCTCGCCACGTCCACATCATCTTACTGACCCCGTCTTTTGCACCCTCCCCTCCCCCCTCCCCCACCACGACCACGACCACGACCACCAACCTACCCCCCTCCACACCTCACAGCACCGCCCAAGACCTCCCCAAACTCTCCGCCCTCGGCCACTTCCTCAAAGGTTCCTCCGCCGCCCTCGGCGTCTCCAAGGTCCAAGCCTCATGCGAGCAGATCCAGCACTACGGCCAATCGCGGGACGAGGAGCTGAACACAGACCTGACGAAGCAGCAGGCGTTGGAGAAGATTGGGAGGACGTTGAGGAGGGTGAAGGGGGAGTATGGGGTCGCGGAGAAGTGGTTGAGGAAGTGGTATAGGGAACATGGGGGGGATGAGGATCCGGAGAGTTAGGTGCGTTTTTTGGCAGGGGAGGTGGGGAGTTTGTGAGGTGTGTTTTTTGGCAGGGGGGGTGGGGGGGGG